ATCCGAACCCAAACCCTAAACCCAACCCCTGACTTAGGCCCACACAGCACTCGATACTCATTAACCACTACCCACGACCCACTACCCACTACTCACCGCCAACTACTCACTACTCACTACTCACTACTCTATACTCTATACTCACTGCTCACTACTCACTACGCACTACTCACTGCCCTCTACTCACTGCTCTCTACTCACTACTCAGTAAAAACCATCCACTACCCACGACTCATACCCACGACCCACTACGCACTAATCACTGCTCACTAAGCACTACTTACTCACGACTCACTACTCACTAACCGACTCCCAATTCGGCACTCGCTACTCAATACTCAATACTCGCCACCGACTACTCACTACTCACTAACTACTCCCAACTCCCTTCTGTGTGCACACTGCTCACTACTCACCACTCACTACTCAATACTCCCTACTCGCTACTGGCTACTCAATACTCCCAATTCAACCCTCGCCCCACACAGTACTCGTAACTCACTACTCACTACCCACTACCCACTCACAGCTTCCTCCTCGCTACTCACTAAGCACTACGCGGTCCTCAACATTCACTGCTCACTACTCACTACCCACTACTCACTACTGGCAACGCACTACTCACTACCCACCGTTCACTACTCACTACTCACTACTCACAAAAACACCACTCTGTACTCACTGTTTACCACTCACTACCCACTACCCACTACGCACTACTCACTACCCACTATTCGCTACCCACTCCGCACATCTCAGTACGTACTACTCACTACTCGCTACTCGCTACTCACTACTCGCTGCTCCCTACTCGCTACTCACTACCCACTAGTCAGTATTGCCTACCCCCTACTCACTTCACACTACCCAGGATTAGCTTCTCACTACTCCCTACTCGCTACTCACTTCTCACTACCCACTACTCACTGTTCACTACGCACTACTCACAACCGACTACTCACTGCTCACTTGTCACTATTCGCAACTCTCTACTCACTCCTCCGTACTCACTAGTCACCACCCACTACTCACTACACTCTACTCACTACTCACTGCTCAATACGCACTTCCCACTACTCCCTACTCAATATACTCACTACTCATTGCTCACTACTCGCTACTCAATACTCCCTACTCAGTACTCACTACTACTCACCACTCACTACACACTACTCCACACTCACCACCCACTACTCGCTACCCTCTCCTCACCACTCACTACTCAATATTCCCTACTCCATACTCCCTACCCACTTTCTCGTGCGCAGAAAGGAGCAGCGGGAGAGGCCCCCCCCCAGGCTCTCTGTCCGGCGCAAAGGGGGGAAAAAGGCGGGGGGGGTCGACCCCCCCCCCCTCTTTTCCAGCGCCAAGGGTCGGGGAGGGGGGGTCCAGACTACCCCCCTTCAAAGGAGGGGGGGGGCGGGGGGTTCGGACCCCTCCCCCCTTAAAGGGAGGGCGGGGGGGGGGGGCGAAAATCTCACCCCCCCTTTCAATCACAGGGTGATCCAGAAGCGCGTTTCCCATAGGATTTCCTTCGGAAATACATTGAAATCCAAGGGGAAACCATTAGGAATTCATAGGACTCCAGAACTCCTCAGGAATCCTCGGGACATCCATAGGTTCCCTGGGAAATCCTTGGGGTTCCTAAGGCAATATACACAAGTCGTTAGGACATAAATTGGATTCCTTCGGACATCCATAAGTTGCCTAGGGACAGCCAATCTGGTTCCCTCGGAAATCAATTGGGTTCCTTAGAAAAACCCTGGGATCTCGTAGGGAACCCATGGGATTCCGGTGTCTTAGAACATGTGCATCGGACCCCTTAGGCAATGATCGAACCCCTTTTGGGGGGATTCGGAAGATTCCTTGAGCAAACCATATGATTCCGTAGGAAATTCATAGCAATCTTTCGGACATCCACAGGGTTCCCTCTGAAACCCATAGGATGCTTCAGGCAATCCGCAGGAATCCTTAGGACATTCATAAATCACATGGAAGAACACATCGGGATCCTTGAACTGTCGATAGAGATCCTTAAGCAGTCCATGGAGTTCCTTTGGAAATCGTAAAAAGTTGTTCTCCGGACATCTAATCTGATTCCTTCCTGGAAATCCATCGGAATCGTTTGGAAACCCAAGGGATCCTTGAGGACAGCCATGGGAATCCTTATAAAACAAATCCATGGGATCCCATAGGAACTCCATCGGATTCGGCGGTCGATCCATACGATTCGCTCGAAAATGCATGCGCGTCCGTAGGACATTCAAATTGCAAGCCACAATAATGCCGATATGTCTGTATGGAAAATTGCCATGCTGACCGGGGAAATGACATGGACTCGTAATGCTGACCGACTGGATTGTCAACTTACCATGCGTGTTCCGGACACTAGTCCAAAATAGAAAAGTCCACACGTTGGGCTGGAAAGTAAAAGGGGATCCTTCACGGTGACAAATTGAAGCTTGAAGTTGACATGCGTTCTTCTACGTTTTCAAAGCAAACCATCGGATTCTTTAAGAATTACCATATGGATGTCTTAAAGATTCCTATGCGTTTCCAAACGAATCAGATGGCTTACTGAAGCAATATTATATAAGGATTGCTTATGGGATCCGATGTATTCCTTCAAACGCCCGGCGGGTGCCCAACGGATTCCCACAGGTTTCTTAAGGATTCCCAAAGGTGTCCTAAGGATTTCTACGCGTGGCTTGAGGATTTCTACGTGCATATATATATATATATATATATATATATATGATCCGAGTGAACCCGATGGATTCCCCAAGGACTCCGATGGATGCCCATGCGACCACTGTGGCGTTTCTACGGACTCCTGTACGTGTCCGAGGGAATCCTATGGCTGTCCCGAGGAATCGTACGTATTGCCTGTGGACTCTTATGCATGTTCTAAGGAATCCGATGGATGTCCTAAGGAATCCCATCGATGCCCCAAGAAACCCATGGATTGTCTAAGAGATCCGATGGATGTCCGCAGGATTCTTGTAGATTTCGTAAGATCCTATGGACTGTATCAAGAGTCCGATGGGTTTCCTGCGGAATCCTGCGGGTGTCCTATGGACCCCAATGGATGTCCGAAGGGGTCCGGTGGATGTCCTAAAATACCCAATGCGTTCCCAAGGGGTCCAACGGATGTCCTAAGCACGTCTATGGATGCTTTTTGGAATCGGGACGACTTTGCATGTGGAATCCAATGGGTGTCTTCAAGGATCCTGCGAGAATCCTGAACAACCCTGAGATCAAATCATCCTCTGGATGTCCTCCGGAATCCTATGGATTTCCAAAGAAATCGACTAGATGTCCGACGACATCTTAGGAATGTCCGAAGGAATCGTACGTATTGCCGAAGGACTCGATGGATGTCCTCAAAGATCCTACGGATTTCCAAACGGATTCCATGGAATTTCCGATGAGTCCTACGGATGTCCTTAGGGTTCTTATAGATGTCCTAGGGCATCTCATGGATGTACCAGGGAACCCCATCGATTGCCTAAGGCATCCTCTGGATTTCCCCCATAAGCCCATGGATTTCCTGAGGAATCGTCCGGATGTCCCAAAGGATCCGACAGATGTCCTAGGGATTATATAAATTTCCAAGATGGAATCGTCTGGATGTCCCAGGGAATCCGACGGATGCCTTGAAGAATCCGATGGATGTCCGAATGAGTTATGTAGATGTCCTAAGAGATCTTATGGATTGCCTGAGGACCCCTATAAGTGTCCAAAGGAATCCAATGGATTTCAGTAAACCTCCATATATATATATATATTCCCCAGGGAATCGTGAAGATGGCCGTTGGGTTTCTATACATGTCTTCGAGAATCCCATTGATTTCCGGAGGCAACCCATATAATTCCTTGGGAGATCCATAAGATGCCAAAGGAAATGTTCATGATTCCGAATAAATTCCATAAGATCGCCTTAAGACTCCGTACGCAATCCATCGGACTCCTTGGGGCATCCATGGGGTTCTGTTTGGAAAGCCATAGGAATCCATGGAACATCCATCGGATTCCCGGGGAAATCCATCGGATTCCGGAGGAAACTCTTATCGGAATCCTTAGGAATCGTTGCTACTCGACATAAGAATAAAGCGACTTCGATTCGCAATTTTTTTTCTCCCCCGATAAAAAAGTTCAGCCTTGCCGACTCCCTTCCCTGACCTAACCTGTATTGGCACGGGACAATCAACTCTCAGTGGTGAAGTGAAGGGTGGACCCAATGATTATCCGGGGGCGGGGGTTAATGCACTCGTAGTCTTCGAAGGGAAGTCCCTTTCCTTTGACCCGCCTGGAGGGGGTCCACGGGGAAAGGAGGTCCCTGGCCAGAATACCGCCCCCTCTCATCGTCATCGTCGTTCAGGGTCGGAGACACCGGCCGTAAAGCCTTAATCGGGGATCTTTGAGATCTGGCAGCTCTGGAAGATGTATCGGGCACCGCGGCCGTTCCAGATCGCTCCAGGACGCTCTGAAAACGTTCCCGAACGCACTGGGACTATGTATCCTGGACCTCACCCCGCCCGAGTCTTGCTGTTCAGTCGGCGCGGGGGTACAGGACGCCCCGCGGTGAAGCGTCCAAAAAGGCACGCACGCGTAGGCACACACCACCGGGCCCCGCTCTCTGCCCTGCTCTGCACCAGGTGGTGGTGGTGGTGGTGGTGGTGGTGGTGGTGGTGGTGATGGTGATGGTGGTGGTGGTCCTCTGTCCTCAAGACTTCTGCCCCGAGAACCCCACGCTCCCCATCCCCCTGCTCCAATGCAGTCGTCCGTCCAGCCTGGCGCCTGCCTCTGCTGCCGAGAGCACGGCTTGGGCCAGCAACGCATCCGAGACCCCGAGACCTGCACGGCAACCTCGGGGTCGCCAAGGCCGACGTGCGCACGGATCCTGATGGCAGCCAGAGCTGGAGCCGAGCAGTCCTGATCGAATCTCAACTCTGGGGGGGGGGGGGCCCTCGCGGTGCCCAGAGTGGTCGGCGCCGATCCTCGGAGCCCGGCGAGATGGTGAACGAGACGCTGACGGCGGCAGAGTCCGCCTCGGTGAGGAGGCGTTCGGGCGGGCCGTGAGCCCGGGCACGATGCTGCAGCCGCCTCCCTGCCACGCTCATCTCGACGCTGACTGTCGACGTCGGGGCCCCTGTGAGAATCGCGATCGAGCTCTCCACGGCTGCGATCGACCGGGGGTCCTCCACGAAGCTGGTAACGTCCGAGACCAGGAGTACGATGTGGCCCCTGACCACCTGAGGCGCAGGCGGAGGCGGAGGCAGAGCAGGGGGAGGGGGCACATGTGGGAGGAGGGAGTAGCGGAACCGTCGTGCTCGGCCACGTAACGCTGTCAGCTATGGTGGTAGTCGGGGACCCTGTAACACTTGTTGCCGCCACGCTCGACTTTGAAATCGTGATATGACTATTTGATGAGCTGGTGCCCGTTGTCGTACTGGTCATGCTGTCCGAAGTTTCGCTGCTGGTGGCAGTTGTGGCTGTAACGCTTGTACTGATCATTGATATACTGCTTGTGCTGCTGAAGGTGCTCGTGCTTGTTGCGTGTGTGCTTGTGGTTTCGCTGAGAGTACTGGCAGTCGTAGATGTAAAAGTCTCGCTCGTGCTTGTGACCGTGCCGCTTGCGCTGGTTATTGATGTGATGCTAGTCTCGCTGAGTGTGCTGACGGTGGTGATGCTGGACGTCTCGCTCAAGCTTGTGGCTGTAACACTCGTGCGTGTTGACGATGTGCTGCTGCTCTGGCTGAAAGTGCTGGCAGTTGTAGTGGTGGTGGAAGTATCGCTTATTATGGTAACTGTGATGCTGATGCTGGTTTCTGATGTGCTGCGAGTCTCACTGAGAGTGATGACAGTCGTAGTGGTAGGAATCTCAGTCGTGATGGTAAACGTTCCGCTGGTTTGCGTCATTGTCGTGTCAGTGCGCGTTGTCAAGCTGGATGAGTTCGTCTGACTAGAACGCGTGTTGGTGGACTCCGTAGAAGTTTCGGTGTCCGTGGTAGTGCTGGACGTGCTGGTTAGGCTGAAGCTTGTGCTGGTGCTTGTCGTAGCTGTGTGGGTCGCTGTTGTGACATTTGACTCTGTCGTTGCGCTCATACTCTCGGTGGTGGCGGTGGTCACTGTGACAGCTGTGATTGAGGCTGTCGTCATGCTGGTCTCAATGCGAGTGCTTCCAGTCGTGGTGGAGGACGTTCCGCTCGTATGTGTAGTCGTCGTGACGGTAGGCGTTGTCAAGCTAGATGTGCTGGTCTTGCTCGACTGCGTGCTGACGGTTATGGTAGATGTGTCAGTGTCCGTGGTAGTGCTGGACGTGCCAGTTCTGCTGAAGCTTCTGCTGGTGCTTGTCGTAGCTGTGTGGGTCGCTGTTGTGACATTTGACTCTGTCGTTGCGCTCATACTCTCGGTGGTGGCAAAGGTCACTGTGACAGCTGTGCTTGAGGCTGTCGTCATGCTGGTCTCAATGCGAGTGCTTCCAAACGTGGTGGAGGACGTTCCGCTCGTACGTGTAGTCGTCGTGACGGTAGGCGTTGTCAAGCTGGATGTGTTTGTCTGGCTCGACCGCGTGCTGACGGTTATGGTAGATGTGTCAGTGTCCGTGGTAGTGCTGGACGTGCCGGTTTGGCTGAAGCTTCTGCTGGTGCTTGTCGTAGCTGTGTGGGTCGCTGCTGTGACATTTGACTCTGTCGTTGCGCTCACACTCTCGGTGGTGGCAAAGGTCACTGTGACAGCTGTGCTTGAGGCTGTCGTCATGCTGGTCTCAATGCGAGTGCTTCCAAACGTGGTGGAGGACGTTCCGCTCGTACGTGTAGTCGTCGTGACGGTAGGCGTTGTCAAGCTGGATGTGTTTGTCTGGCTCGACCGCGTGCTAAGGGTCCTGGTAGATGTGTCAGTGTCCGTGGTAGTGCTGGACGTGCCGGTTAGGCTGAAGCTTCTGCTGCTGCTTGTCGTAGCTGTGTGGGTCGCTGTTGTGACATTTGACTCTGTTGTTGCACTCATACTCTCGGTGGTGGCAAAGGTCACTGTGACAGCTGTGCTTGAGGCGGTCGTCATGCTGGTCTCAGTGCGAGTGCTTCCAGTCGTCGTGGATGACGTTCCGCTCGTACGTGTAGTCGTCGTGACGGTAGGCGTTGTCAAGCTGGATGTGTTTGTCTGGCTCGACCGCGTGCTGACGGTTATGGTAGATGTGTCAGTGTCCGTGGTAGTGCTGGACGTGCCGGTTTGGCTGAAGCTTCTGCTGCTGCTTGTCGTAGCTGTGTGGGTCGCTGTTGTGACATTTGACTCTGTTGTTGCACTCATACTCTCGGTGGTGGCAAAGGTCACTGTGACAGCTGTGCTTGAGGCGGTCGTCATGCTGGTCTCAGTGCGAGTGCTTCCAGTCGTCGTGGATGACGTTCCGCTCGTACGTGTAGTCGTCGTGACGGTAGGCGTTGTCAAGCTGGATGTGTTTGTCTGGCTCGACCGCGTGCTGACGGTTATGGTAGATGTGTCAGTGTCCGTGGTAGTGCTGGACGTGCCGGTTTGGCTGAAGCTTCTGCTGCTGCTTGTCGTAGCTGTGTGGGTCGCTGTTGTGACATTTGACTCTGTCGTTGCGCTCATACTCTCGGTGGTGGCAAAGGTCACTGTGACAGCTGTGCTTGAGGCTGTCGTCATGCTGGTCTCAGTGCGAGTGCTTCCAATCGTGGAGGACGTTCCGCTGGTATGTGTAGTCGTCGTGACGGTAGGCGTTATCAAACTGGATGTGCTGGTCTTGCTCGACTGCGTGCTGACGGTTATGGTAGATGTGTCAGTGTCCGTGGTAGTGCTGGACGTGCCGGTTAGGCTGAAGCTTCTGCTGGTGCTTGTCGTAGCTGTGTGGGTCGCTGTTGTGACATTTGACTCTGTTGTTGCGCTCATGCTCTCGGTGGTGGCAAAGGTCACTGTGACAGCTGTGCTTGAGGCGGTCGTCATGCTGGTCTCAGTGCGAGTGCTTCCAATCGTGGTGGATGACGTTCCGCTGGTATGTGTAGTCGTCGTGACGGTAGGCGTTGTCAAACTGGATGTGCTGGTCTTGCTCGACTGCGTGCTGACGGTTATGGTAGATGTGTCAGTGTCCGTGGTAGTGCTGGACGTGCCGGTTCGGCTGAAGCTTCTGCTGGTGCTTGTCGTAGCTGTGTGGGTCGCTGTTGTGACATTTGACTCTGTCGTTGCGCTCATACTCTCGGTGGTGGCAAAGGTCACTGTGACAGCTGTGCTTGAGGCTGTCGTCATGCTGGTCTCAGTGCGAGTGCTTCCAATCGTGGTGGAGGACGTTCCGCTGGTACGTGTAGTCGTCGTGACGGTAGGCGTTGTCAAGCTGGATGTGTTGGTCTGGCTCGACCGCGTGCTAACGGTCCTGGTAGATGTGTCAGTGTCCGTGGTAGTACTGGACGTGCCGGTTAGGCTGAAGCTTCTGCTGGTGCTTGTCGTAGCTGTGTGGGTCGCTGTTGTGACATTTGACTCTGTTGTTGCACTCATACTCTCGGTGGTGGCAAAGGTCACTGTGACAGCTGTGCTTGAGGCGGTCGTCATGCTGGTCTCAGTGCGAGTGCTTCCAGTCGTCGTGGATGACGTTCCGCTCGTACGTGTAGTCGTCGTGACGGTAGGCGTTGTCAAGCTGGATGTGTTTGTCTGGCTCGAATGCGTCCCAGTTGTCGCAGTAGTTGTGAGGGTCACTGCCGTGACAGTGGACATGGTCAATGTGCTCGCAGTCTCCGTTGTAGCAGTGGTCGATGTTAAGGTTGTGCTAGGAAACGTTGAGCTGCTAGTTCCGCTGAGAGTGCTGCTTGACGTACTGGTAGATGTCTCGCTCGTAGGTGTCATTGATGTGCCTGTGTCCGTGGTAAGGCTGGATGTGCTGGTAAGGACAGACTTTGTGCTGGTGATCGTGGTACTTGTTCGGGTCAGAGTCGTGGCACTTGACTCGGTCGTGGTACTCAATGTACCTGTCGTGACAGTGGTCGGTGTGATGGTCGTTGTAGATGATGTCATGCTTCTGGTGCCACTTTGAGTGCTCCCAGTTGTGGCAGTAAGTGTCTCGCTCGTGCGTGTCGATGTTGTGTTTGTGCGTGTTGTGATGCTGGTCACGCTTGAAGTAACGACAGTGCTAGAAGTCGCTGAAACGCTCGAACGGGTAACTGAGGAGCTGCTAGTTTCAGTGATTGTGCTGGCACTCGTGGTGGTGGAACTCTGGCTCATGCTTGTGACTGTGAGGCTTGTACTTGTTGCCGATGTGCTGCTGGATTTGCTGAGAGTGCTGGCGGACGTGGCGGTGGTGGAAGTCCCGCTCACACTGGTGGCCGTGGCACTCGTGCTCGATGCCGACGTGCTTGTGGTTCCGCTGAGAGTGCTGGCAGTCGTGGTGGTGGACGCAGTATCGCTCGTGATTGTGACTGTGACGCTGGTAGCGGTGATCGACGTGCTGGTGGTCTCGCTGAGAGTGCTGATGGTCGTGCTAGTGGTGAAAGTCCCGCTCACACTGGTGGCCGTGGCACTCGTGCTCGATGCCGACGTGCTTGTGGTTCCGCTGAGAGTGCTGGCAGTCGTGGTGGTGGACGCAGTATCGCTCGTGATTGTGACTGTGGCGCTGATAGTGGTGACCGACGTGCTGGTGGTCTCGCTAACAGTACTGGTGCTCGTGCCAGTGGTGAAAGTCCCGCTCACACTGGTGGCCGTGGCACTCGTGCTCGATGCCGACGTGCTTGTGGTTCCGCTGAGAGTGCTGGCAGTCGTGGTGGTGGACGCAGTATCGCTCGTGATTGTGACTGTGACGCTGGTAGCGGTGATCGACGTGCTGGTGGTCTCGCTGAGAGTGCTGGTGGTCGTGCTAGTGGTGGAAGTCCCGCTCACACTGGTGGCCGTTGCACTCGTGCTCGATGCCGACGTACTGGTGGTTCCGCTGAGAGTGCTGGCAGTCGTGGTGGTGGACGCAGTATCGCTCGTGATTGTGACTGTGGCGCTGATAGTGGTGACCGACGTGCTGGTGGTCTCGCTGATAGTACTGGTGCTCGTGCCAGTGGTGAAAGTCCCGCTCACACTGGTGGCCGTTGCACTCGTGCTCGATGCCGACGTACTGGTGGTTCCGCTGAGAGTGCTGGCAGTCGTGGTGGTGGACGCAGTATCGCTCGTGATTGTGACTGTGGCGCTGATAGTGGTGACCGACGTGCTGGTGGTCTCGCTGATAGTACTGGTGCTCGTGCCAGTGGTGAAAGTCTCGCTCGAACTGGTGGCCGTGGCACTCGTGCTCGATGCCGACGTGCTGGTGGTTCCGCTGAGAGAGCTGGCACTCGTGCTGGTGGAAGTCGCGCTGAAGCTGGTGACCTCCGCTCCCCCCCCCCTACCTGAGCCACACTCCGCTGCCGGATCCGCCGATCTGCCCCGCGACGCTGGACGTGCTGCCGACCGATGGCCCGATCGACCGAGTGCTCCGGGGTCGACCAGCGGAGCGGCTGGAACGGCGGCCTGATCGTGCCACGGTCGACGGGCCAGGCCACCAGCCCCTTCACCGGGGCGCACGCGAACATGGACCAGGGATCCGTGGATCTGGCGCGAGGGCGCAGGAGGTCAGCGGATCGGGCGTGGTACCCCCCACACGTGAGGCCGTTGCCGCCCGATTCTGGCGGCGGAGCTCGCAGATCCTGCACGAAACGGAATCCGTCGCGAATCCACGCGACTCAATCCATGCTTGTGCCTCCTCGACTCCTCCCGTGTACGTGAGGCAAACTTTCACAGAATCTCGCAGCGTCGTGCAACATACTCTTTCTGGGTACTCCAGATTTTGTAATAAAAGGGAGGGGGTCTCATTTCGGGGGGGGTCTCTTCCAGGCTATCTTGGAGGGCCTGGGGGGGTCTGGGGACGATGTTTTGGAGGGTTCTCCCACGGGGGGGGGTCTAAAACTTCTCGTCTGGGAGGGTCGAGACCCCCTCCCTTTTATTACGAAATCTGGAGTACTCTTTCTGGGTAGGCGAGAAGAAAGTCCCAGAGAGACAGGGCGGCCAGAGGGACAGAGAGACAGGGCGGCCAGAGTGCAGCTCCAGAAGACAGGGCGTGCCAGAGGGAACCCTCCTGTTCCTGCCTGCTCCCTCCACGGCGGTGGCCGTCGTGCTGCCGGTGGTGAGAGTAGCGCTCGACACGCCACGCGGACCCCTGCTGGTGCAGAGGTGTCGGAGCGTCTGTGGCCCGCAGCTCGTCCCCGTCCTCTCTTCCTCCCCTCTGGCCCAACTCGTTTGAAGGGGCCCCAGAACACACAAATAAATACACACAAATAAAAACAAATCCCCATATTTTCATATATTTTCTGGGTTTTTGTCTTCCCCCGCACTTCCCATATTTTCGCATATTTTCCTAGGAATCGACGATTAATTGTGTCTGTGTGTTTTTTTCCCCTCCTGATCGTTTTCTTCCTCTCCCTCGGGGCGGGGGTTGCTAGAGGCGCCCCTGGTCCAAGGTGACCCCCGGCTTTTCGCTCCATCCCGGAGCCTCATGGGGCCCTCTGGGTCTCGTGAAGGGTGCTCTGGAGGCCTTGGCGGCCTTCATGGACATCCTGGGGGTACCTTGGGCCAGGGGCACTTCTAGCAACACCCGATCAAGGCCCTCTAGAACAGAACATTGCTAACCTGGGCTTTATAGACATCCCACCTGGAGATTCCTTGGGCGCGCCAATGTCATGGCTTATCAAAGTCCCCGTGTAGGCAACTCTTACTTACTCTCCCTCCTTCCTCGTCCCCCTCCAGACCAAACCTCGACCCAAAGCCGGTCCCCGACCTCCCACCCACGGATCCATCCTGATCTGCTTTTCATCCTGTGCCGATTACCCGCCCGTCGAAAAAAGTAGATAGAAACATCAAGTAGGACCGCGGATCAAGTAGATTGGGTTTTGGCCCGCCCAGTGAGCTCTCCCAAAGAGTCTCGAGTTTGAATAATCTGACGGATTCAAAATGAAGCTATTGCTTGTCTCGGGGGGGGGGGGCAGGGTGGCTTTGCCGGGGTAGGCGGGTGACGTGGGGGGGGGGGCCGGAACTCCGGAGCCCTGGGGGGGGGCCCAAGACGTTCAAAGAGGCCCAAAACGCCAAGTTCCCTAAAGAAGCCGCGCATGTTCCCCACATCTTAAGTGGGGTTCTTGTTTTCTCCGTATACCCCGCGCAGGAACATGAACCCACCTACAACATCGTCATCATCATCACCATGGCCACCATCATCAGTATCATCACCATCATCATCATCATCATCAGCATCATCATCCCGCTCATTCTCATCATCTGCATCAGTATCACCACCGTCTGTCACAATGAACACGACCACCGTCATGTGTCATCCTCCTACATCACCATCACAAGCATCACACGCATCAGTCTTATCGCATTCATCATCATCATCATCCACCACCATCAACATCAGTACCACCATCCCATCAATATCACCGGCCACCTTCAGCATCATCATCATCATCATCACCACTCACTCTCTCTTGTGCGAATATTCTCTCAGCACCCACTCACGCATCATCATGTCAGGCCCCTCTCCATGATCATCGGCAATGTTCAACATCGCCCTCGTAATCACCATCGCACACCACCATCGTCATCACTATCCCCACCCCACCATGATCATCGACCATCGGGGCGCCTGTTATGTAAGCGGCGTGCAAATAATTCTCAACCGGGAGCCCCCGCCTTATGGGGCACGCGCTTCGCGTTCGAATCCGAAAAGGGCCATCGGAAAATAAAAAATTCTCGCCTCGTCCTGGTTTCTCCTGCCTGAATCTAGAAGTCTCGATCGGGAGCTTCGTCTGTGAGTGAGATACGGGGACATCTCGGGCGGGAGCGCTCTCCCTCTGGGGTCCCCGCCCCCCCGTTCGAATCCGAGGCGGGTCATCGAAAACATGTGCCCCGTGTCACAGTTGGGCTTCATGTGGCCTGAATATAGATGGCGTCTCGTAGGGGCCCTCGTTTGTGAATGAATCGCGAGGAAGTTCCAGGCGGGAGCCCCCTCCCTATGGGGCCCGCGCTTCACGTTCGAATCTGAGGCAGGTCATCGGGAACATGTGCGTGTCGTTACTATTCGGCTCCTCTGGCCTGAATGTGGAGGACGTATCGAACGGGAGCATCGTCTGTGAGTGAACCGCGAGGACGTCTCAGGCAAGACCCTTCCTTCCCGACGGGGCCCCCGCTTCCACGTTCGAATCCGAGTGGGGTCATCGAAAACCTGTAATCGTCGTCGGTTTTGGCCTCCTCTGGCTTCAACCTAGAGGATGTCTCGGTTGGGAGTTTCGCCTGTGAGTGAATCACCGCCTCCATGCCCGAACCCGCGGAAGACATGCGGGGCATGCTGATCTTGCGGCCGCCCACGCGAAAGGTCCTGGATCGCGGGCCGCTGGCGTCCCTGCAGAAGCCGCTCGAGGAAGTTGACAAGAGAGCGGTCTCCAGGGCTGAAGCGAAGCAGCTCGCGGCAAAGCTGGACTTCAAGCTGCCACCCGCCTGAGCGCGGCCACGACTAGCTCAAGACCTGCGGGGTTGTCCCATCGGTTGGTTCCCGCGCCCCAAAAGCTCGCGGGGTTGCCCCAGCGGCCTCACCCTTGAGGAGGCCCCGACGGTTTCGCGATCGGGCCATCGGAGAACGCGCCCATGCCGGCCGCGGCGACAACGACGCCGATGGAAATCGATTTGCCCCGGCCAGGAGGCAGGGGTGGTGCATGAGGAGAAAAGGCAGGAGGAGGATAAGGCAGAGACAATGAGGAGGATGACGAGGAGGATGAGGAGGAGGAAGGAGGAGGACGAGGAGGAGGAGGAAAAGAGGAATAAGGAGGAGGAGGAGGAATAGAAGGAGGAGGAGGAGGAGGAGGAGGAGGAGGAGGGAGGGAGGAGGAGGAGGGAGAGGAGAGGAGGAGGAGGAGGAGGAGGAGGAGGAAGGAGGAGGAGGAGGAGGAGGAGGAGGAGGAGGAGGAGGGGGGGATGAGAAGGCGAAGAGGGGGGGGAGGAGGTGAATCAGAGAGCGGAAGGACGCCACCGCCAAGACGACGAAGAGGAAGCGAGGGACCAGCTAAACGGATTCTCGTGCGGCGTGCCACCGTCGGAGTAACAAGTATATACTACTTCTCGGCCTTCACGGCGTCCCATACGGCCGAAGCGGCCCCCAAGACCGCCCTTAAGACGGCCCAAGAAGCCCCAAAGAGGGCCCCGAAAGGGCCCCAGCACGGCCCAAGAGGGCCCCAAAACGGCCCAAGAAGCGCCCAAGACGGCGCAAGAGAGCCCCAAGACGGCCCCAAGAGGGGGAACCCGAACCGACGATTCGAGCCGTCCCCCCCCCAAACAAAAACACAGGAAGCCCCAAAAGGTCCCCTAAAGGCCCTAAGAGGCCCCCCAGAGGCCCCCAAGACGCCCCAAGATGTCCCAAAACGGCTACAGAGAGGCTTCAAAAGTGCCTCCAAGAGGCCCTCCAAAGGCCTCCCACGACATCCCAACGAACATCCAAGAGTCCTATGACCCACAACCCAGGCAAGTTGGGGGGATGGACCGAACGCCATTCGACCCGCCGCTCCCAGTGGTCTTGCCCACAAGGGTGCATGGCGTGCTAAACCCAGTGCTCGGCTTGTTGGTCCTGTTTCTAAGAGAACTCCCCCATGGGTCTTCGGCCGATGCCGCTAGTCACCCTGTCGGCTTGCCGAAGTGGTTGCAGACGGTTTTCCCGCTCCAGATGGCTCCAAGATGGCCTCCAAGACGGCCAAGGTGGCCGTCCATTTCGCCCACGATGGTCCAATATGGCCTCCACGGCGGCCCCAGAGCGTCCAAGATGCCTCGAAATTTGCCCAAGAAGCTTCCAAGACGGCCCAAGATCGCCTCAAGATGACGGCAGACTGCTCAAGAGGCCCACAAGAGGCCCCCAAGAGGGCCTCCAGAAGGCCCGAAGATGCCGAAATCATTGAGTTTGCCCTCAGGCTTTTGAAGGATGTTGGCATTTACTTCGATTCGCCTTCGGACGGTCCAAGACGGCCCAAGACTCCCCAAGATCGCCAAAGATCGCCCAAGAGGCCTCCGATATGGCCCCAGAACGGCCCAATAGGCCCACAAAACGGCCCCAGAAGGGCCCTAAGACAGCCCAAGAGGCCTCCAAGACACCCAGAATGGCCTCCTAGATAGCCGTGGAGCATCCCAAGAGGGCCCCAAGTCGGCCCAGAGACGCCCCCATCACGGCTTCCGACGGCACTAGACGAGCCAGGAGGCCACCAAGACGGCCCAAGATGGCCCAAGACGGCCAAATAGGCCCACAATATGTCCCCAAGACAGCCCAAGAGGCCTCCAAGAGGGCCTCCAGAAAGGCTCAAAGAGGCACCAAGCATGTATGTTCCTTAGGTGTGTGAAGGAGCTTAGCATGTGGTTCTTTCCGGCCTTCCGACGGCCCGAGACGGCCAAAGAGCCCCCAAAAGATCGCCTCAGATCGCTCAAGATGCCTCCAAGATGCCCCCAGAACGGCCCAAGAGGCCCCCGAAGACGGCCCCAAGACTGGCCAAGAGGCCTCCAAGAAGCCAGGATGGCCTCCAAGACGGCCCTGGAGTACCCAAAGAAGACCCCAAGTTGGCCCAGGCAGTCCCCCAAGACAGCTTCCGACGGCGTCAGACGGGCCAGGAATGCCCTGAGACTGCCAAAAGCATCCGAAAATCCCCAAAAGCCCCCAACAGGCCCAAGGAGGCCCCCAAGATGCCTCCGAGAGACTGCCAGGAAGCTCTCAAGAGCCCCAAAGACTGCCCCCAGAGGCTCCCCAAATGCCCCCTCCTGCTCCTCCTGCTCCTCCTGCTCCTCCTGCTCCTCCTGCTCCTCCTGCTCCTCCTGCTCCTCCTCCTCCTCCTCCTCCTCCTCCTCCTCCTCCACAATTACTCAATATGAATATACTCTCCCTCTTCCCCTGATCGCGTCCGGGTGATAGCCGCGCACCCTCCGCGTACTGTTTTTTACACACAGAATGCCCGGAAAATCCCGGGAAACGACTCTCGCTGAGGCGCCGGCGTCATTTTTTCCCAAAATGCTGCTCTCGCGCCAGCGTCATTGTTTCCCAAAATGCTGCTCTCGTTGAGGCGCCGGCCTCATTTCTGCTCCCGAATCCTTCCCCTGATGGCGTCCGGGTGATAGCCGCGCACCCTCCGCATACTGTTTTTTCACACACAAGATGCCCGGAAAATCCCGGGAAACGACTCTCGCTGAGGCGCTGGCGTCATTTGTTCCCAAAATGCTGCTCTCGTTGAGGCGCCGGCCTCATTTCTGCTCCCGACTCGTTCCGAATCGTGCTCCCGCTGCAGCGTGGGCCTCATTTTCGGATCGGTGTTTGGCCTCCGTCGTTCAGGATGGCGTTCTCGCCCCAGCGCGGGCCTCTTTCTCGCGCGCCCATCCGCCCGCCACCACCGCGCCGCACCGCCACCACCACCACCACCACCACCACCACCACCACCACCACCACCACCACCACCACCACCACCACCACCACCACCACCACACCACCACCACCACCAACCAGCACCAGTACCAACACCACCACCAGCACCACCACCACCACCACACCACCACCACCACACCACCACCACCACCACCACCCACCACCACCACCACCACCACGACAACCACGCACACACGCACGCACGCACGCACGTGCACCACCACCCACTACGCACGCGCGCGCGGAGCCACAGGTCCGCTACGACACGCGTCCGCGGATAGAGAAAATCAGCGCCATGGTAAGGGATGGGAGGGAGGGGTAGGACGTCAGATATGACGCGAGCGCACCTAGCTTGTCCTCCTCCTCCTCCCCTTCATCCTCCCCTATGTGTTCCCCGGGAATGTTTCTACAACGGCTCGGGGAACACATGCTCCGATAGCGTGGCTGAGCTCTTGCCACAACGCTCGGCCACATGGGCGACTCAACAAGGCAGAGGGCGGCGGTGATTCGCCGTGGGCGTCTTGGAGAATCCCCGCAGAACCCCAGCTCAGCTAACCCCAAAACAACAAACACACGCCTGGACAGCTCAGTATATACCCCAGGACCGCCAGGGTGCTTTAACCACGTCCTTAAATCCGCTAGGAGCGTCCAGAATCGGCGGCACAGGCCGGCGGCCACTACAACAACAAAACACACCGAAAGCAGATCGATTCTTGAAGTAGGAAGAGGCTTGAAGTAGAATGGAATCTGAGAGCCCCTAAATACCTAGTTGCAACGACTGGAGCGCAAAGAAACAAACCTGAGGCCCGAAACGGGCCCACGGATGACGACGGCCAGGGGAACACCTCCGTCGCTCTCCCTCTCCTTGTACCGCTTCCCCTCCTCATCGTCGTCACCCCTCCCCTGCTCGTGGCCCTCTCGTCCCACGAACTTCGGTCGTGCAATCCCTCCTGCCTGTCCCCCGCGGCCTCTCGGGGCTCGCAGAGAAAGGTTCTGTGCTACGTTTAGGTCGGGCGTGTCCCCCTAGAGGCGGACTTTGAACGAAAAATCGAAAATAGAAACAATACCCGCAAGTAGTCAAACACAAACAAAAAATAGTTCCCAGCCTATGTTTTGACTATTTTGAATTTTCCTCGTGTAGAGGGGCAGGCCCAACTGAATGCCACGTGATGCTTCGCCCGTGTCGGGGCCACCGTGAGTTTGACCCGTCGCAGCGGACGGGTCCGCCGCGAAGCTCTGGCCAGACGGGGCCCCAGGAGAGGTGGAGGGGCGGGATCCTGTGGAGGAGGCCCCCCTCGCACCCAAGACGAGGGCAGGCTGAGGACCGGATCGGGTCTGGAGTTTGGACGCCCAAGATGGGAACGGAAAAAATGGGTACACTGCCCAACAACAGATGTTGCCCCAAACTATCAGCGGCCGCTGCTGGGCAGGAGGCCTTCTGTCTCAAATGGACACAGGCCGCCGCGGCGGCGCGGACAGCGAGTCTTGTTCAAAATGAACAGGAACGGCTGTTGGGCATTGTACCCATTCTTTCCGTACCCATCTCGTTCGAGCCGATGGAGGCACAGTCGGCCGCCGCGGCCTTTCCAGGCCGCGCTGTGAGAGGCTCCAAGAGTGTTCAGGAGATCTGTGCAGAGATTCCTCCTTGTCCGGGGCTTGCCTGACATCCACACCCCCGCCACCATCACGATGGCTGCATCGGCTGCTGCTCTGGGTTTGCTGGCCACCTGTGCCGCCCGCCAAAGGCGTGACTGGGTCTCGGAATGCGTCGTGGCACCCTGCGACATGCCAACCTGGCACCGTCATACGTCCGCAGCCGACGCACTCGCTACACGCGTCTGTCCCGCAAGCTCGCGTGGTGCCCTGGCGCAGCCTGCCGCGGCGACGTGCTACTGCCGCAGCTGGCCTCAGCAACAGCGTGCCGAGAGGGCTCCGAGCTAGCGGTGCCCGCTGCACCGGATCAGCTCTGGCGCCCACGCTTGGGAGACCCTATCCTGCAAGTCGCCTCGGACCTCCTGCGCATCTCGCCGCCCACTCTCCGTCCCAGGACTTGCTAGGCCGAGGTGCCCTCCTCGAGCCAGAAAAGATGGCCACCCTGAGAGCTCGCCCCTCTGCGCCTCTCCCGGATGGCGCACTGGCCAGGATCTCAAAGCGGACCCAGACGTGGCGACGGGTGGGGGGCCCCAAAAAGGCGCCCGATCACGGGCGGAGGAGGCGAAGGGTCTCTGGAGGTCAGCGCGTGTTCCCCCAGACTCATGATCCCCCCGATGCCACGTAGGTGGAGGCACCCCAATTAGGGTCCGAGTGGACAGGATCAGAGGATCTTGCCGCATCGTCGATCCACTGGCGATGCAGCGGCGACGTCGGGATGGCTGACACCGGGCTTCGAACCGATCCCTCACGCCGATGCATCAGCGACAGGGGGCGATCCGTCGACCCCACCCCCATCGGCCCCATGTGGGCGGCCTGGAGCAAGGGGGGGGGAGGAGGAATACGAGGACCATGAGTGAGCCAAGGGACTGACCAGAGAGGGGGAATCCTCATGCAGACCGCTCGTGGACGGGCGGAGGCACGCCCAGTCTCTCCCATAGTGGTGGTTGATGTGATCAGCCTCGAGTCCACCATCGTGCAGGCCTGCCGGGAGGAGCATCCTCCTCCTCCTCCTCCTTCTTTCTCCTCCTCCTCCGACTCCTCCTCCTCCTCCATCTCATCCTCGTCCTCTCCTCCTCCCCCTCCAATTCCTCCTCCTCTGCCTTCTCCTCCACCCCTCTTACGTATATACTAGTTCTTCTGTCGCACCCCCAGATGTAACAGTAGGCCGGGCCAGGCGCTTCGCATGAGGCTTCCTCGCCATGTATGATCCAGACGCTTGAAAAATGAAACAACTTCCAGGATGGAGGACGGCCCGTTCTCAAAATGTGCCTCTCGCCCCAGCGACGCGCACATTCGTACACTCAAGTTTTGCAACAGTGTGAATGGTGGCCGTCGACGTCGTCGTCGTCGTGACCTTAGTCGTCGTCGTCGTCGTCGTCGTCGTCGTCGTCGTCATCGTCATCGTGGTCGCCGCCGTCGTCGTCGTAATCGTCATCGTCGTAGTTGTAGTCGTCGCCGTGGTCGTCGTCATCGTCGGTGTCGTCGCCGTCGGCGTCGTCGTCGCGGCCGTCGCCGTCGTCGTGGTCGTCGTCGTCGTCGCCGTCTGGACTCCGGGGCGCGATCCTGTGGATGCGGGGTAGCACGGGATCGCGTCGCACGGGCACGGTTCGTGAGACAGTGAGCACGGGTATGTTCCCCGCCCACGAACCGAGCATCGGGGAGGACGTACAGGATACATAGGCGACTTCCGAAACCCTGAACCCGAAAAACGTTTCCATCTCTTGGGGGCGCATTTTTTACTTTCGTCGCCTTCCGCCGACCTTCCGCCGCCCTTCCGCCGCCTTCCGCCGAGGAAACGACGGTAGCTCCTTCGATCCTCGAAGGCAAAGGCCCTCTTTGGAACGCCTTACATAACGACCGAGACTTGCCACTGGTCGGGCGTCCATTCTCCGTAGATTTTTCGGCCTCGTGTGTTTCATTCTTTTCCGCCAGATGATCTAAAGATGCTCCTCGATGGTCCTCGCCGAAAATCCACACGTTCGAGCGATGCCACGGACAATGCGTCCCAATGGGACCGAATGCGGCACCAGAATTTATACATAAATAGATCGCGTCCAATTATCATTGGAGCTGAACCCCTCCTCGACGGGAATGATGGGATGTCGCCCGACACAGCGAAGTTCAGCGAAGGCGTCGCGGAGGTGACCATGAGCGACGTGCAGGTCCACTCCCTGGTCGCCCCGGACGGCACCGTCCTCCAATCCATGTGCTCCCGCCGATCCTGCAGGCCCTCCCAGGAACCCCTCATGTTCCTCGGGACGAAGATCCGCTGCTTGGCGGCGCGAAGAAAGGCATGTACTCACAACGGAGGCGGGGGAACCTCCGAGTGACTACAGCTCGACAGCTTGCTGCGTTGGAAGCGATGGTGCGTGACCTGGCTGCTCAGGTCAAGCGGGATACCTCGCAGACGACAGGGACAGCTCCAAAGAAGAACACGAAGAAAAAGCATTGCTCATCAACAAGATGGCGGGCGCCGACGTGACACACTTTTTCTTATCGGCCTCAAGCGCCTCATCCACTTGGCCGATCAGCAGGCGGAGCCGCCGACTCACAAAGAACTCGTGGCCAAGCTGAAGCACCTCTTGCAGGACAGTGGGGGCACTTCGTCCACGCCTTCTGCTGCAGGCGCTTCGGAGCCGCCTGCCGCCAAGTCCAAGACAACCAAGCCGCTGCTCCACCCGTGGGGATCAGCACAAGTGTGACAGCCGGCCCATATCAAAGACAAGGAGTATGATTCAGAGCGCCCTCCTGCGGTGGCATGCCAGAGCCGCAAGGAGCACGACGGTGTACACGACTGGTGGCGGGCGAGAGGTCTTCAGCCAGATGTTACATACGGGCTGGTCAATTTTCGATGAGACGACGACCATTGATGGTTGGGAGGAGATGGAGGTTACTGTCGAGGGGTCCAACGGCAGGGCCACCCAGATCTCCGCACAACTGCTGCATGTTGGCCAGCGAACTCAACGGCGAGTTGGCCTACCGACGGGGGTGAAGGATGACGCTCCCATCGCCGCTCCCACTGCGAAGCGTGCCAGCGACAGGCTCACCATCGCCAGGGGCTATGCCGAGGACTGGCTGTTCTAGCAGGCGAACGAGAAGCCAGTGGCGGTCGCCTCGTTGGTCCTCAATGCCGAGCTCTCGAAGCACACCGTGAAGACCGAAGGGGTGATGGCGTACGAGACGGAGGCCACTGCAATTCTGATCGCTGCCGTGTCCCAGGTTGATGACGTCCTCAAGTTTACGCTGCCCTTCGTCCGTCGTAGCTGCCGAAATTTGGCCGAGATGTATCCTGCAACGCGCGCCAGGATCGTGGGCCCAGGGCGAGCAGGTTCGAACTTGGGCTGTCGATCGCGGGTTCAACAATGCCTCGGGCGCCACGAGTGCGGGGCTCGCGAGTGGTTCCTCCGAGGTCATCTGGAGACGCCTGTCAGAGGCCAGGTGGTGGACTTCAAGCCAAGTGTCATCGCTATGCTTGCCCCCCCGCGCCGTGGTCACAATCGGCCTCAACCGACAATGGCTCCGACGATTGCGCGGGGGGTGCTGAGCCCTTCGACGTCGGGGCCGTCGACGACGTCCGCCTCTGCGCCCTCCCCAGCGACGGCCCCGGGCGACGTCGGTGAGTGAGGCGACGCCATCGTGGGCGCTGAGGACGCGGAGGGGGCACCGCCGCCGACCCAGCCAAAGCCCAAAACGGCCCAGACGGCCAAGGAGGCACCAGCGGCCCCCGACCCGCCGCCTCGGAGCCCATATTTCGTAGAAAAAAATAAAGGTAACTGAAGTAGTAGTACTACTAGTAGCAGTAGTAGTAGTACTAGTAGTACTAGTAGTACTAGTAGTAGTAGTAGTAGTAGTAGTAGTAGTAGTAGTAGTAGTAGTAGTAGTAGTAGTAGTAGTAGTAGTAGTAGTTGCAGAAGTAGCAGTAGTAGTAGTATTAGAAGTAGTAGTCGTATTCGTAGTCGTAGTCGTAGTCCTAGTCGTAGTCGTCGTAGTAGTAGTAGTAGTAGTAGTAGTAGTAGTAGTAGTAGTAGTAGTAGTAACAGTAGCAGTAGTAATAGTAGTAGTAGTGGTAGTAGTAGTAGTAGTAGTAGTGGTAGTAGTAGTAGTGGTAGTGGTAGAAGTAGTAGTGGTAGTAGTAGTAGTAGTAATTGTAGATGTAGATGTAGATGTAGATGTAGATGTATATGTATATGTAGATTGAGTGGTAGTAGAAGAAGAAGAAGTAGTAGTATAAGTAGAAGTAGAAGTAGAAGTCGAAGTAGTAATAGAAGAAGTAGTAGTAAAAATCGTAGTCGTGGTCGTAGTCGTAGTCGTGGTCGTAGTCGTAGTCGTAGTAGCAAGGTAGTAGTAGTCGTCCTAGTCGTAGTCGTAGTTGTCGCAGTCGTAGTAATAGTAGTAGCTGTAGTAGCCGTAGTAGTAGTAGTAGTAGTAGTAGTAGTAGTTGTAGTAGTAGTAGTAGTAGTAGTAGTAGTAGTAGTAGTAGTAGTAGTAGTAGTAGACGTAGTAGTAGTAGTAGTAGTAGTAGTAGTAGTAGTACCAGTAGTAGTAGTAGTAGTAGTAGTAGTAGTAGTAGTAGTAGTAGTAGTAGTAGTAGTAGTCATAAGATTATTATCAGTACTAGTAGTAGTAGTAGTAGTAGTAGTAGCAGTAGATGTAGTAGTAGAAGAAGTAGTAGTAGTAGTAGTAGTAGTTGTCGTAGTAGTAGTAGTAGTAGTAGTAGTAGTAGTAGTAGTAGTAGTAGTAGTAGTAGTAGTAGTAGTAGTCATATTAATAGTAGTAGTAGTGTAGCAGCAGCAGTAGTAGCAGTAGTAGTAGAGTAGTAGTAGTAGTAGTAGTAGTCGTAGTGATAGTAATCGTAAGATGTAGTAGTAGTAGTAGTAGTAGTAGTAGTATAGTAGTAGCAGTAGATGTAGTAGTAGAAGAAGTAGTAGTAGTAGTAGTAGTTGTCGTAGTAGTAGTAGTAGTAGTAGTAGTGGTAGTAGTAGTAGTAGTAGTAGTAGTAGAAATAGTAGTATTCATATAAATAGTAGTAGTAGTAGCAGCAGCAGTAGTAGCAGTAGTAGTAGTAGTAGTAGTAGTTGTAGTAGTATTAGTAGTAGTAGTAGTAGTAGTAGTAGTAATAGTAATCGTAAGATTAGGATCAGTACTAGTAGTAGTAGTAGTAGTAGTAGTAGTAGCAGTAGATGTAGTAGTAGAAGAAGTAGTAGTAGTAGTAGTAGTAGTAGTAGCAGTAGATGTAGTAGTAGTAGTAGTGCGGGGGAAAAGGGGGATTGCTTCTAGCGCTGTTTCAGTTACCACGCACACACGCGCAAGACGAATCACAGGCAGCTGATTGCCGCCGACCTTGGTCCTGAATGCGGTGGCTGCCGAGACGTTGAAGATGAAAGCTGAAGGGAGCACGTGCCCAGGCACGGGCGGGGCCAAGGCGCTGGGTACGGACTTCCTGGCACGCAAAAAGCAGCAGGACCAACGACATCTGTTCACGGCCCCAGCCAACATCAAGACCTCCAAGAAGTGCTGGCTGACCCTCGAGGACGGCCACTACGGGCTTCTTGCGGGAACAACGCCTGCGCCCGCGGACGTGGAGAGAGAGAGTGGCGAAAAGAGTCCAAGCAACGCCCTCATCACTTCACTGGTGGAGGTCGCGATACGGGATCTGAATCATCAGGCGAGGTTCGCATCGCGCTTTGCCTGGCCGCTACGACGCGCTCTGCGGGGGCGTCTCTTTCGTCCAGGGGTGCTCGCAGCATGCTGGGTCCACGGCCGACGGCGTCCACGACGGTTTCGAGGGCGAAGCCGAAAGCGACGGCGAAGACGAAGTCCAGCGGGCCCTCCAGGGCCAGTCGGTCGCTCCCCAAGGCGAAGGCCCAGCCTTTGTCGACTCGGGGGGCCCACGGGTGATCTCGAGCTTGGGGGCGAAGCAGGGGGAGGTTGCTTCACTTGCCCCGCGATCTGATCGCTATGTACATTGTAATGCCCGCGTGGTTGGAAGCCAAATATCACTGGCAAGACATGCGTGGGGACTCGGAAGAAGGCGAGGTTTCACCGGCGGGCATGCCGGGGCACGTTCATCCCCACTGCACCTCCAGAGGCTCGCCTGGCGAGCCTTGGCGCTGGAGGCCTGGCTGCAGCAGCGATGCGTCGAGGCCAGCGGCAGAGCGCATGGCGACTCCTGGGTGTTCGGAGGTTTTTCGGTAAATGCGTGGGCCAAAACGGCGTTGACAGAGTGGATGCCATGACAGTGGACACTCTAACAATCTTATCATTTTATCATTGAGTCAAAGATGTGTTTTTGAAGGTGTAAAACATGTTCTAAAAACGTTTCAAACATGTCTTCACATGTTTTGAAACATGTTTGAAACATGTGTTAGACATCTGGAAATTATTTGGCAACATGCTTCCCCTCCATTAATCGACTTCCACAACGTTAACGCAGTTGCCGACAGAGGGCGCGCGCGCCGGGCGCCCCGTCCGGGCCGCGTGTGGGCGGGCACGGGCGAGGCCTTAGCGGCCCAGGCACCCGCGGCAGAAAGCCGCCGCCCATGGTTTTGACGCCGTCTCTGGACGAGCGCCGCCTCGCGCCGACGCCCTGAACGCGCCCCCGCGGCCGGGCGCGCGAAAAATTCTGCGCGGGGCCGCGCGGCTGCCTGGGCTCGCGCGCGGGCGCGGCGCGAAAGGACAAAGGGTCCGAGCCATCGTCGCGCGCGGCCTCGCACTCACCTGCGCACCGACTCGATCAGTCCATTGCGCTCCGACGGCTTCTTCGACTGCATCGTCGTTTCGCCGAATTTCTGCGTCGAGGCCCACGCGGCACGACCGCGCTGGCCACCAAGCACGACCTCCAAATGGCACGGGCGGCTCTGGACCTGCCCGATCTACTCACCTTGCCTGCAGTCGGTCTATTGTGCAATGCGGACGCCTTGGGATGACTCTCGGCGGTCATCGCCAGAGAGTAGATCCGTCTTCAATACAATGCTTCGAAACAGTGGCGCCAAACATTCTCAGCTGGGTCATCTGATATCAGAGAATGTACGACGCCAGTGTTCAAAAGACCATCACCTTCGCAGTCGCTGGCGGTCGATGAGATGAGAACGCGGCGGAAAGAAGACTGGGACCCACCGAACTACGACGACACACTGTTTGTGACGGCGTGGAATCATCATGCGAGCGCGGCGGTTTTCCCCGAGAGTGCACCACCTGCCGAATGGGAGCATACCTTCGAGGAGCTCTCAGCGGCGGTCCAGCAGGCCAAGCGACGTCCAGGCCAGGCCTCGACGGCTGGACCTTCCGCGAGCAGCGCGCCCTCACGAAGCCCGGGAGCTCTACGGCACGTGGAGCCTCGCCTCTCGAGATGCAGCTGGCCTTCGTGGCCGTCTCCAAGATCCCGTGAGCCACCCTGGCTTTGGGTGGAGAGCGGCTGGCGCCCCAAAGGGGGGGGGACAGCAGTCGACCCATCGGCGTCGGGTCAATCCTGCTGCGGGCATGGCCGCGTGCGTTGGCCTTGTCGGTACCATCCCCTCCCGAGAGATCAGTGGGCCAACCGAAAGGGTAGTTCAGCTTCTCGTGCAATTTCGATTTGGCTTCGAGACTGTGCGGACGCATCGGATGGCGCAGAACTGGATCTTACAAGAGCGTATGATAAGACATCCCATGGGATCGCTTTGGCAAGTCTCAAGCACAATGGCATGCCCGACGTGGTCACCTGCACATGTGTGGCGGCGTGGAGCGGACCGAGAACTTTTAGCATCACGGGCCAGCCCGCCGATCCGGATGGATCCCCAATGCGGGCTCCCCCAAGGCGACTCGAGGGCCCCTGCCACGAGGATCGCCACGCTCATGCCGTGGCAACCGTTGTGCCGCGGACGTTGCTTCATGGGCGATCGATCGTTGCTTGCTCAGGGCCCCGATCTACTACGTGACGAGCTGAAAGCTACGACGCGCTTCGACCTCTCCATCGGAGACTGCGAGAATGAGAAGAAGCGCCAGATGTGGTCGACGGCAGACGACGAGAACGAGCTCGTCGAGCACTTGGGGGTAGCCGCGGCACCCACCATTTCCAGCCATCCCATTGAACCGAAGGGAGGGTGAACCACGATGTTTTCCTCCATCGACGTCCTGGGCTCGATCCCAGGCCCACACCAAGTACGACTCCGACTGACCTACGCGTACGTCCGCCCCCTCTGGCTGTGGGCGTTGCCGCTGGTCGTGCCGCCCCCTTGGGCAGCCGTCCGCGCCCTCGCCAGGGCGACATGGAAGACGGGGGCTTCATGGTGGGCTACGGACGCTTCGGGGCTCTCAGAACGTGCTGCTCCGTCCAGTGTTTTCAGTCGCCATCTTTGCAATCAAGAGTGTTATGCATAATGTTTTTGTCAGGTCAGCCTTTGTCGAGACATCCATCACGTATCATGTGCGGGACATTCGCCTGCAATTCGTGCGCTTCTCTCCAACCCAGGGCCTGCTGCTCGAGGTGGACCCGGGCGACGACTTCAGAGTACGCGGCGCAGTGGATGACCTTGTGGACGACCGCTGGAGGTTCTGGACAGGAATCAAGGCGGTGGAGCATCCATCAGGTTGATACGTCGTACTAGATTTGATTGCTTTGATCAGGTTTATTTGTTTGATTGATTTGATCCATCCATCAGGTTGATTTGTCAGGTCTAGACACGACTCATAAGAAACTGAAGATGTTGAAATGTCCAAGGGGTCCAACAAAGCATACATGAAGTGGATCCAGAGCCTCTCGGAGGTAGATCGGACCCTTCTCGCAATGTATCGATGTGGTGCCCGTCACCTCGGAGACGAGGAGGCGGACAAGCTCGAGTTGCAAGCATTGCGGACATGTGATGCCGTCGTTCAGACACGTGTGGACGGGAGGCCCACGACACCAAGCTCTACGTGACGAGCTGGCTCTCAGTCACGGCCTTCCCTCAGGGTTCTGGACTATGGATTCCATATGTATATATATGTGTATATATATAGATATGCATACATACATACATACATACATACATACATACATACATACATACATACATACATACATATATATATATATATGAACGCGTCCGATTGAGACCGATGTTTGGCTTGAGACAGATCTGATTGTCAAGGTCGGTCGCATATTCGGCCACGCCACACTTGCGGTAACAATGTCGGGCAAGTCTTCGGTCACATATTCTATAGGTCGGCCACACACCATTTTCTGTAGGGAAAGAAAAGCAAAACCAAGACCAAAACTGAATCCGGAAATGTCGATCTTGATTGCCGTCCGTCTTGGTCAGCGTCGATTCGCGGATCATCCTCGCGAATCGGCAACGGCCAGCATGGACCATGACTGAGATCGGCCTTGACACAATCTCGCGACATCTTGGCCATGGTCAGCGTGCTTCTCCCCGACGTTCGGCTGATATGGACCGCTGAACGAGGGGGGGCAACGACGAGAGGGATGGCCAATCGGCTGCGTGTGGCCGGCCTTCCCGGCGCCTCTCGGCGCCAGAGGCGGCCGAGTGTGGTGCCTGGAGACGGACTCGGCACTGGCTGCGTGTAGCACACTCCGTTCCACCCCCGCAGCCGGCCCAGGGGGGGCACCGTCGAGCTGGAAACGGCGTTGCACCGCAGATAGGGCGGCGATGGGCCCCCGATAGCCGATCCGCACGTTCCTGGGCGGGGTGGCCTGTTGGGCTCGGATCGGCGAACAATGGGCGGTTGAGGATCGATGCGTTCCCCCCCTGACGTTGCCCCTGGCACTTCCTTTCGTCCACCCCGAGACGCGGAGCAGGCAGGCCTTGGTCCCATCGCCCGCGCCCATGATGTCCTCCAGGGCCCCGTCGCAGGCGACCCAGGCCCAGTCCTGGCACCCGTAGGCGTGCAGCACCCCGCAGCCTGGCATGGCGAGACAGCGCGCCTGCGCCTGCTGCACCGTGCCGAACACGGCATCACAGTGGCCCACAAAGGCGGCATTGTCCACCCAAGGGCCTGAGTCGGTGCCAAAGACTTCTGCCGTTACTGGCAAATCCCCCGCTGGGTTCGAACCTGGGGGAGAGGGGGGGAGGGTAAAACTTGAACAGGGACCGACCGTCCCGGCATTCCTATAGGCTTACCACGACATGTTCTTAGAATCTAAGAACAAACAACAATTTTATCATAACAGAAATCCGATGTGTTAAACCAAGACAGTCCCAGCAAGAAATGTTCCAAGAACCTTTCGTGGAAACGACACGGTTCGAACATGGTTTGGTAGGCCTATAGGCACGCCAGGACGCTTCGCCACTGCTTGAAAAACAGCCTCACATTCCGAACTGGGGAGGGAGGGGGGAGCGGACGATGTCCCCAACCCCCCTCGGTTGGAACTGGGGCCAGGAGGGGCAAGGGAGACGGTCTTCTCTCACCTTCGGGGATCTTCTGACCCGGGTCAATCCAGACCCGGGTCAGCAAGAAACCAAAAACTGCAATACAGGAAAAAAACTGCAACGCAGGTCTTCTCAAACCCGGGTCAGCCAATGGGCGCGGCCGCCTCGCGGCCACGAGCGGCACGCTAACCCGGGTCAGCCAGAGGGGGTCTTCGCAGGATCCTGCAGGATCCGACCCCCGTCTGAACTGACCCCCGTCTCGAGGCTCCCGACACCTGCAGCTCGGCGGCGCGCCGGGGGGGGGGGCTCGCGCGGCCTGGCCCGGCCGCCTTCTGAGAAGACCTGCACCCAGCAGGAGGAGGGGGAGGAGGAGGAGGAGGAGGAGGAGGAGGAGGAGGAGGAGGAGGAGGAGGAGGAGGAGGAGGAGGAGAGGAGTGCCGCCGATCGAGCAGCGGAGACGCCCAGGCCCCCCATCGCCGGTGGTGTGGCCAGAGTCACGGCGGGAGGTTCGTGCCCCTCTTGGGCCTGTCCCTCTTCACCTCCCTCCCTCCCTCCCTCCCTCCGCCCCTCCTCCTCCTCCTCTTCCTCCTCCTCCTCCTCTTCCTCCTCCTCCCTGCTCCTCCCTCCTCGCGCGGTCAACAAAAAAGGGACGAATTGGCTGGTCCGTCAGCTAGAAAGACTGGCAATACGATGCTGGCCGCAGGTAAGGTGCCCAGACCTCGGGGGCCCACGTCGTAGACATGCCACGGCGTCGGAGACTTGGGGGCGTCAGAGGTCACAGGGCCCGTCTGGGGCCTCTCGTGGGGCCCCAAGGGACCTCGGAGGATCTCGGGGGGCCTCTGCAAGTTGCTCGGAGCAACTGGCCCGATGACCGTCGGTCAAAGAGGCGCGTCAGGCAAAACACGGACGGAATGGGTTTGATCAAAGCTGGCTGAGCCACCGTAGCCGGCCATGCGCCTTCCTTGCACGACAAGGCATCGACTCATGTATCGACGGCAATAACCCGGGCGTCTGGGAGGATACGTTCGGCAGCAGCACATTACCCCTGGGCCTGGCACGAAGACGATGCCATTAAACAAGGTGGTGGTGGTCACGGTCATGGCCGTTGCACTGGTCGAGAGAGACGTGCCAGACGAACTCAGCGTACTCAACGACGTGGACGTCATGCTTGACGATGTGGAGGTGGCCGACGTCACTGTCGATGTTGAAGTGGGGACCTCGCCTTTGATCCATGTGCAAGACTGCGTCCCTGAGCCCGCAAGAGCTATCTCCGACACCAGGGAGCTGCTCCAACACGTGAGGAACGACACACAGTCGTACGCCATGACGGAGGCGCAGCTCGCGTCCGCATCGCACGCCGCGAGCGAGGCACTCAAGGTGACAATGCTCGAGTCACAGTAGTCAAGGAACACTGCGCTATCCACCCTCGGGCCCTCCACGAAGCTGTTCGTCAACGATGCGCTCGCACCTCTTTTAAGAGCTGATCGCACTTCCACGACCCCCCCATCCCGGCGGTCCCCGCACAGCAGCCCCGACTTGTAGCTTCACCACATGCCGCCAGCAGGTGATTGACACCTGCTGTGCGGTATATGCGACGCGCTACCACAACATTTCCCCAGGGCAAAAGTAAGGAATGATAGTCATGAGCCCCAGCGAGGACAATGACTTGGGAATGTCTTTCTTCAAGAGCGGTACCCTGCGAACCAAGTCGATACATATCGCAGTAAAGTTTAAGCAATCGAATGCAAAGCAAATAATGCAATGCAATGGGATGTAAATGCAAATCATCCCAAACGGTGGAATAGACAATAACACACGCAACGCAAACCACCATCACGCAACGCAAACCAAAGCGGGAGAATCCAAATTATGTCGCGGTGCAACGCAATGTGACCCAATGCAGAAAGAAGCAGCAACAACGCAACAGAAATGCAAAAGATGCAGGGGACCGCAAAACAAGGAACATCAGCGAAACACACATCGAGGAACCCGGGAGAACCTGCAAACCCCCGTCTGGGCGCCACCCATTCGTCCCTGGCCCGCTTGCACAGAAGTGCTGAAAAGTCACCCGGCAAAGCCAAAGTGAGGCAACATGGAAACAATGCGGCGGGGGGCGGGCACAGGTGGAACAGTGGAACACCAGGAGCTGAGAACACGGAGTGGCAGCAGTAAGTGGACGGGGGAGAAACACGAAGGACGAGGAAGACGATACAGGGGATGAGTAGGAGCAGGGAGAGGACGAGGCGGGGGAGGGGTAGAGCACAGAGGATGGAGGAGGAGAGGAAGAGCAGAGGAGAATCAGGAGGAGGGGGAGGAGGATAAGGGCAACAGGGGGTGGACGAGCAGGATGCATGGACGCTGTGAGAAATGGACGAGCGCCCGCAACAAGAGTCCCGTGCCTCCAGAAGCTCGGACAGCATGCCCCGAGGCCCCCAGAGAAAACCTGCAAGGCCCCAAGAGGCCCCCTGACGTTGCCTCGGGATCGCCCCGAGGGCGCCCCCCTGGGGGCCGCAGCCGTCTCCAAACCCGGCTGCCCCAGGAGGCGCACCTCCATGAGAAAGGCGGGTGGGGGTGAGGCCTCCAGGATAGGAGGGTGTAGGTTTAGGGTTTAGGGTTGAGGGTTTGGGTTTAGAGTTTAGGGTTCAGGGCCATCAAGAGCGCGAAGTTGTCAACATACTGGACGTGTCACTTGCGCGGTGCCCACATCCCACCACCCTAGAAAACCATTACATATCAAGACACACACTCTGGCGCATGCAAGCCATCGGGGAAGGCCGCGTGGATCAGCGAGGAGCAGGAAGGAGCAGCGGGTTCAGGGCTTATTTGGGGTGGGTGCAATACAGGTGGGGGCAATTGTATTGCAAACCTGTTGCGCCGGAAAACTGCGTTGCATTGTATTGCAGGGATGCATTGCACGCGAAAATCCAGCAATGCATTTGCGCCCTGGAATGTATTGCACGCCCCACATGTATTGCAAACCCACAAATCTATTGCACCAAATCTATTGCACCACCCCCTTGTCGCTGGACCCCCTTTTGGGTCAACCCGAGCTTAGGGGAGGGAACAGGAGGTCGAGGAGAGCGATGAGACAGTGCACATCCGCGGCAGTGGCAGCGGGAGCCGCAGCAGCAGAAACACACAGCCTCGTGGCTGGACTGCCCAACAGAGGGCTGCCAGGATGGCGAGCGTGTGCCAGCTGACCTCGAGGAACGAACAACTGCACACACATACTTCACACACAAAAATAAATACACACAAATTCCAGGATTCCTCATATTTTCCTGTATTTTCTGCACTTTCTCATAGGCCCGCTCGGAGATCGGGGAAATCTTGGAACACACCTTTTTATGTTTGGCGGGAGCGCCTGTCACTGGCGCCGCCCTCCCCCATCCCCCGAGGAGGAGGAGGAGGAGGAGGAGGAGGAGGAGGAGGAGGAGGAGAAGGTGGTGGAGGAGGAGGAGGAGGAGGAGAAGGAGGAGGAGAAGGAGGAGGAGGAGGAGGGTCACGTCACGATTCGCGCCAACGCCGTCTGGGAACCAGCCAGTCCTAGGTATTCCCGGACGGCGCCAGCACGAATCGTTACGTGACCGGCCCCCCCCCCCCTCCCCCCTCCCCGCGCTCACGGCCGCGATCTCCGAGGGATAAAACATGGTCTGGGGTTCATGCCGCTTCTGCCCCTCCGGCGACCAGCGCCCGTGGCGTCTCCATCCCCTGCAGAGGGGCAACGATAGGGGGACTTGCTCACGGTGGCAAACTCTCGACCTGGAACCGGCGGCACATCGCCAAAAAATCGGCGATAGGCCCCCAATGGCAAATCCGCACCCTCCTGGGCAGGGTGGGGTTATAAAACCCCTATCTGCGATCAATAGGCGAGTGGGGGTCGATGCATGCCCCCCTGAACTTTTATACACGTGCCTGGTGGCTCTCGGTCCACAATTCGGCTCTCTGGCCGCCGTTCGGGACGATCTGGACACCCCTGGAATGCCATCGGCGAGGCGCAGCTGCTGGAACGCATCCCGAATCCAGAAAAGCGCCGAGAACTGACGAAACGCCCGAGAACCTCGAGCTCGGGAACTTCTCCTCAGCATGTCGCCGCGGCGGCCCCGGCAACACGCTATGCCCTGCAAGCGGATCATTAGCGTGTCGCTTCGCTCCGCGGCACGGGCGGCTGGAAAAAGGCTCGGGACTTTGAAGCTTAGCGACGGGAAGTGGACAGCGTGTCGCGACGAAGCGTGGTGGGTCAGAACCAGCGGAACGAAACGCGATCCAAAAGTTCACGACCGTATCGTTGCCCCTGACTGGCGGCGCGCACAAGGGGGTTGGGGGAGGGGGGAGGGCTTCTCAGAAGGAGGCAGCTGCTTCTTCGAAGGTGCCGACCCCACATCTATAGATAGAAGGCAAGCGCCTTCTGAGAAGCAGGGGCGCCTCTAAGAGTCTCCCCCCTCCCCCCACTGATGGGGGCAACGATAAGGGGGGACTGGCATAGGGAGGGGGACACATCGACATGGAATCGGCGACACGTCGCCGATACATCGGCGATAGGCCCCTGGTAGTGAGTCTGCACGCCCCGGGCAGGTTGGGGCCACCTGGCCCCTATCGGCGATCAGTAGCAGATTGGGGGTCGACGCATCCCCCCCCCCCACCATGCCTCTCCACTATCGCTTCCCCGAACCTGCCCCCCTTGGAGCGCGCGGCTGGCCTGACCTGCGCTGCCCGCCCTGGGGCCCCGCGGAGGCCGAGCGCCGCGCCCGAGGGGCGTGGGCGTCGCGCCGCCCGGCGGCGGCGCGCGCCCCGCCGCAGCTCAGGCGGCGCGGCCCCGCGCGCGCGGCGCCCCCGCCGAGCCTGGGCGGGCCGCCGCCATCCGCGGCGCTCGCGCGGCGCCTGCGCTCGGGCGGCATCGGCCCGAGCGCGTCGCCCCGAGCCGAAGTTGGCTGCCGCCGCCGCGGCCGCTGGGCCTCCCCCCCCCAGGTGATGAGCAACGGGAGTGCCCCTCACACTGCGGGAGGGGGCCTGGGATAGGGACAAGTGTTTTTGCAGGCGTGCGAAGTGAAGCCAAACACATGTTCAGGGATGCTCCTAAAAACTGCCGGCCCAAGTTAGGTCACGAGTTCACTGTGTTATTAAGGCTAGGGATCTTTCTATATATGCTCAATGACCAGGAGGCCCAGGGCTCCGAAACAGGTGGACTGACCAATTTCGAAGTATGTTCGACCCTTCGGGTCTCTCACTGGGCCCCAGCGCAGTCACGGGACGAAAAACGGTGCAAGGCAGGTCGTTCAGACCCACGGGCGCCGACTGTCGTCAGCTCGGAAGCGACGAGTTTTAGACTAGTAGTAGTAGTAGTAGTAGTAGTAATAGTAGTAGTAGTAGTAGTAGTAGTAGTAGTAGTAGTAGTCGTAGTAGTAGTAGTAGTAGTAGTAGTAGTAGTAGTAGTAGTAGTAGTAGTAGTAGTAGTAGTAGTAGTAGTAGTAGTAGTAGTAGTAGTAGTAGTAGTAGTAGTAGTAGTAGTAGTAGTAGTAGTAGTAGTAGTAGTAGTAGTAGTAGTAGTAGTAGTAGTAGTAGTAGTAGTAGTAGTAGTAGTAGTAGTAGTAGTAGTAGTAGTAGTAGTAGTAGTAGTAGTAGTAGTAGTAGTAGTAGTAGTAGTAGTAGTAGTAGTAGTAGTAGTAGTAGTAGTAGTAGTAGTAGTAGTAGTAGTAGTAGTAGTAGTAGTAGTAGTAGTAGTAGTAGTAGTCGTAGTAGTCGTAAAAGGCGTAGTAGTCGTAGTCGTCGTAGTCGTCGTAGTAGTCGTAGTAGTAGTAGTAGTAGTAGGAGTAGGAGTAGTAGTAGTAGTAGTAGTAGTAGTAGTAGTAGAAGTAGGAGGAGTAGTAGTAGTAGTAGTAGTACTAGTAGCAGCAGTAGTGGTAGTAGTAGTAGTTGCTGTTGTTGTAGTTGTACTAATTAGCAGTAGAAGTGAAATTAGTAGAAATAATAATAATAGTAATACTGGCCGTCGACGAAGTAGTAGTAGTAGTAGTAGTAGTAGTAGTAGTAGTAGTAGTAGTAGTAGTAATACTAGTAGTAGTAGTAGTCGTAGTAGTAGTAGTAGTAGTAGTAGTAGTAGTAGTAGTAGTAGCCGTAGTAGTAGTAGCCGTAGTAGTAATACGGGTAGCAGTAATAAGATGTGTAATGCGTTACTCAGACTATACATGTTACTAGTCAAAAAAGAGATTCAACTATGTCTGGTACTTTCCAGGGGGATTGTGAAGTTCGAGAGAGCGCGTTTCACGGGCGCTTGCCTTGGAAACATGGGGCGTGGGCCCCCCCCCCCTCAAACACTCCCGCGCCATCGATCAAAACCAGGGGGACTCCCCTCCCCTGACCCCCCCTCCCCAAACCGCCCTTGGTAGGGGAGAATGGGGGGGGGGTCCAAACCCCCCCAACCTTTCCGGCGCCAGCGCCGGCGCTGGCGGCCGCTAGCAACGCCGACGACGGGGACGCAGCGACGATGACTAGAGAGGGCCCAGGAGGAGAGAGGGCCCAGGAGGAGGGGGGGGAACCCCCCCCACCCCCGCGCCGGCCTCGGCGCTGGCGCTGGCGGCGGCCAGCAGCGCCGACGGCGGGGCCTAGAGGCCGCAGAGGGTCCAGAGGCCGCACAGGGAACACACAAGTCGCCATATCGAGCCCTTGCATGCTCCTCAGACGGCCCCGAGATACTTCTGACGAGACCTCAAGAGGCATCCATAAGAACTCTGACCCAAAGTCAAAATACAGTGGAGGGAAGAGACGACGGCCACACCACCACCACCACCACAAACCACCACAACACCGCCACCACGCCTACCACTGCAACCACACCACAGCCACCACAACCCACTACCACCGCAACCAACACCATCACCACAAACCACTACACCACCACCACAACCACCACAACCCCCACCAGCACAACCCACCACCACCAGCACCACCACAAACCACCAGCACCATCATAAACCACCACACCATTACCACCACCATCACGACCACCGCCACCACCACCACCACCACAACCCACCACCACCACCAACACCACCACCGACACAAACCACCACACCACCACCACCACAACCACCACCACCACCAACCACCCAACACCCACCACCATCACCAGCACCACTACCAGCAGCACCACCACCACCAACACCACAGCCCACTACCACTACACCATCACAAACCACCACGCCACCACCACAACCACCACCACCACGACCACCACCACCACCACCACCTCAACCCACCACCACCACCAAACAACCACACAATCACCACCACCACAGCCACGACCTCACCACCACCACCACCACAACACCACCACAACACCACCACCACGCCTGCCACTGCAACCACCACCACAACCACCACAATCCAATACCTCCACAACCACCACCATCACCACAAACCACTACACCACCACCACCACCAAAAACGCCACCACCATCAGCACCACCACAAATCACCACAACCCACCACAACCACCACCACAAACCACCACACCATTACCACCACCATCACCACCACCGCCACCGCCACCACCACCACCAATACAACAACCAACCACCACTACCACCACCACAATCTACCAAGCCACCACCACCACCGCCACAACCACCACCACTACTACCAGCGGCACAGCCCACTACCACCACCACCACCACAAACCACCACACCACCAGCACCTCCACCACCGCCACCACCGCCACAACCCACCAGCACCAGCATCACAACCCACCAGCACAACCTGCCACCACAACCACCAGAACAACCACCATCACCACCGCCAACCACCACACCACCGCCACCACCAATACCACCACCACAACCACCACCGCCACCAGCACCACCATAGCCCACCACCATCATCACCTCAGAGAGGCTCCAAGGGACGCCCAAGAGGCGCCCAGGAGGCTTCACAAATGCTCTTCAGAGGCCCCCGAGATCCTTCCGACGAGATCCCAAGAGGCATCCATTTGGACTCTGACCCAAAACCAAGGCACGGTGGCGGAGCGTCGTCGTCGTCGTCGTCGTCGCCGTCATCCTCGTCGACGCGCACCGCCGCCGCCGCCCGCCGCCGCAGGCGCTGGCGCCAGCCCAGAAAAGGAAGTCGCCGTCTTCATCGACGACGCTCCCCGCCGCCGCCGCTGCTAGCCGCCGCCGACGCCGGCGCTGGTCCGAGGAGAGGGAGAGAGGAGAAATAGGGGAGGAGGGGGGGGGGTCGGGAGAGGGGGTTGGAACCCCCCCCCCTCCGTCACGGGAGGGGGGGGGAGGGGGGGTCCGTTTCCAAACCCCTCCCTTTCAAGCGACCGCAGAACGCGCTCTTTCTAAAGTTCGGACCCGCCGCTCCCTACTGCCGACCAACGCTGTCTCGACCGGAGGTACTCAATCGGGGGCATGCGGTTATAGGGGCGCACAACGTGGGTGTGTGCCGAAATGGGTGCGGTGGTGGCATGCGGAATGTGCAAGCTGGGCCGTCTGTGGAGCTGACTATACGGTTACGGATCGTGTGAGGGGCGTGCCGAAAAAGGCGCGGTGGTGGCATGAACCTTTGGTATTGGGCCGTCTGTGACGCCCCTTATGGGACCAAGAAATGTTCGAGGGGTGTGCCTGTCATGGGCGCGGTGGTGGCATGCAGACTTTGCAAGTTGTGCCTTCTGTGGGCCGCCCTACGGGGCCACGGAGCGTCTGAGGAGGGTCCCGACATGGGCATGATGGGCCGCGGGAGAAGAGAGTCATGGGGGGCTATCTCTTCAAAACGAAAACCCTTCTCCACAGGATGATCGGGAACAAAACAATGCACAACACTGCAATCCCACACGTGACGGTGCTCCTGATAACGACTTACTACGGTTGGCGATTTGGGCACACCACCCCTCCGGACATTCCCAACAATCCCACCTTACACGTGGAATCCGAAGTGCAAGCTCAAGCGGCCAAACGAAGCGAACATATGCAATGAACAAAAATCATGCACGCAACTGGGCTTGGCGAATTCGGGCACCGCATCTCCCCCTGGACTCCCCAACATCGCTCCCGCCTCACATGCGTGCAACAAGAACTGGAAGTGCAGAAAACAATGCGCTTATGATGGGTCACCGTGGCTGGAGCTTTGGGCACCGCACTCTTCCTGGACCTCCTCGAGCTCCTTCCTATGCCTCCCCAAGCCACAGCCCAAACCTCACGAGCGAACCCCTTCGGTCTGCTGGGGCGCCCAACACCAAAACTAACCTTGAGATGTCACATCTGATCTTCAAACGCTGGACGTTTACCTAACGGCACCTGCGCAGCACGGCCGCGAACCGGCCCTTCGTTCCGACGCTTCCTGATGTTCTAGAGGCCTGCTTGTGCTGCTCCCTCCGTTGATCGACCACGTGTTTTTTTTTCTGAAGGCGCGGTACGGAACGGCGTTGTCCAGGATGCAGTCCGATGGAGTATTCTGAGGGAAGGCTGGGGACGGCTGAGGCGCTGGAAACGTGCTCTAGGAAGTGGGCCAGCCTTCCAGCAAGTTGATCCAAACAAAACACTGGGTCAGATGTTCGGGAGGAGGTGCCTTCATCTTAGCTGCCCCGATAATTAAGCAAGACGCAGCACGTAGCGTATTGGTACAGAGCTCAACACGTAGACTGTACACGTACGTTTTGAGCACGGGCGTTTTGAACACGACGCGTGTTACGTTTTAAAACGTGCGTGTCAGAGCAGCTAAGGTCTTCATGGCATGCTCCCTCCTCTGAGGGCCGCTCGGGGCAAAGACACGCTCGAGCGGTTTGCCGGGGAGGCGCGCAGGAGCCACAAGAGGGCCTGCAGCGCTGCCCCCTGCCGAAGAAACCTCTACACGCGCCTCTCCGCTGCCCCATTTCTTCCGAGCGCGGCAGCGAGCATAGCTGCGTGCACACAGGGCGCGCGCCTCGCTGAATTGACCCTGCGCCACACTGGCCTCCGCCCAGCGTCCCTCCGAGCTCGTCCCAACCACTGCCCGACTCGTCTCACGGTGGCCCCTCTCGGGCCTGCGACTCGCCTGCTACAGCCAGGGGGGGACAGAGAGAGCGACAGAGACGCGGATCAGAAACCATCAGAAAAGGATTCCAGGGTCGGAGGAGGAGGAGGAGGAGGAGGAGGAGGAGGAGTAGGAGATTCGTGAACGCCCCCACCGTTGAGAGAGAGAGAGGGGGGGACCCGCCGACCCCCCCCCCTGCCGGGGGTGAGAAGGCGTGCGAGATGCCTGGCGCACCGTGCCCCCTTCCCTCGCTCCGGGGGGCCCGCCGGAATCCCGCGTAGGGCGGGCAAGAGGGGAGGGGGGGGCGAAGGGCGAGCGCCCGGGCGCAACTCCCAGGGAGTCAGAGCATCCAGGTCCACCCTGCGGTGCCTGCGCAAGGTGCCGTGCCCAAGGTCCCCACAGGGCTCCCGAGCTCCCCCGAGGCCTCAAGGAGAACCATGAGATACCCCGAGCATGTCCGAAGAGGTCCCAAGAGCTCCCAGGCACCACCAATCATCCAACAACCTTGTGTTTCACAATCGGCTTCGCTATCTCGCCTGATGTCCTCCCAGGCAGCCTGAGAACCCCGCCAGAATTGCCCCAGCGGCTCCCAGCCAGCGTCCTTCACGACGAATCCAACATGCATTCAACACGACCGAAGACCGCTGCAAGACGGCCATGACTCCCACGCGCGGCCCCCAGTCTCCACGAAACGACCCGAGGACGTCGAAGGGGACACCAAAGTGGACCCAAGAGGCCCCAAGAGAGCCCCAGAGTACCCCCCTCAACACCCTACGACAGGACCAGATGATCGGTGACACATGTGTCCACCCCTCAGACCTTACTGATTCAAATACTCAATTGTGATTTCCTCCCTGATCTCCAAAGAAAACCCCCAGAGGCTCCCAAGACGACACAAAACGGCAACCAAGAGGCCCTCGAGAGCGTTCCGAAGAGACCCCAACAAAGCATCTATGAGGACTCTCGCCCTCATTGGCTACACTCATAAATGACCCTGGGCAAGAATGACCCTTGGTGTGCCGCGGGGAGGCCGAACCGGAGCGCGGAAGCCGCTGCTATCGCATAGCATTCAGCCGTCTCGGGACACGTGTGCCCGCACCACAAATCACTCCGGCGAAAGGCCACTCATACTCGGGGAAACGTAAGACTCGTGGTTCGGGGTACTCGGGGTGGCCTGACTGGGCCGTCATGAAATTGACGAGACCCAGTCTGAAATTCGACGCGGACTCCCGCTGCAAACATCCGACGGAAACTGCACCGTCAAAATCCAGGACGCGCTCGTCAAAAAGCGTTGGCAAACCCGAGTTCTGGCGCACTCGAGTCTTACGTTTCCCCGACTTACGTCTAGCCGAGCTCAGCCCAGCAACGGTGGCAGGATAGGCCGAAGGCCGTGAGAAATTCGCGTGCCACTTCCTCCCCCGGGGCCCGCCGTGATCCCCGCTCTGCGGGCACATTACCTGCTGTATCTCTCGCTCCGGCTCCCGCGGCCCCTCGCCCCTCCGCTGCTCCAGACGACGGTGGCCGTCGCCCTGCGTCTCCTCCTCCTCGTGATCCTCGCGCCCAAGCCTCCCTAGGGCAACTAACTTCGCGCTTAGCGCTCCGCGAAGCGCGCAGCGCGATTCTCTTCGCGCTTTCGCGTCGCCTCCCCCCCCGCCGGAACACGATGAGGGACTCTCGCCTCGCTCTGAAATCGCCCAGCAGGCCGCGAAGCGCGAAGCGTGACTAATTTCGCACCCTCGTGGTGGCCATAGCTCCTCGCGCTCATCCCGCCCGGGCCTCCGCATCCACGGCACCCCCCTGCTTCTTGGAGGCAGCCAGCAGGACCCAACTCACCACGACAGCCGAGGGTAAAGACAGGCGGCCCCAAGAGAGAGGGCCCAGCGCTCCCGAGGTAATGGCCACGGACACTCCCCAGCATCCTGCCCGCGTTCTTTCCTCTTGCCTCCCTGTCCTTGCCCTTCGTGGGCACCACGTCGCTCACCAAGGTCCTGCTGCGCTCTGCCGTACCCTGTCAGCCCGTGCAACCGAGATTATGTTTGCCCCGTTTCGGGGTTCGGCGAAACGGCCTAAGCCTCTTGAGCACAGAGACCAGATGGGCGCCAGAAATACAGAGAGACAGAAATAGAGAGCGAGAGAGAAAGAGAGAAAGGGGGGAGAGAGAGAGAGAGAGAGAACGAGAGAGACAGAGAGAAAGAGAGACTTAGATGGAGAGAGGGGGAGGAGGAAGACGGAAAAGAGGAGCCAAAGAGAGAATTGATCCTGCGAGTCTTGCCCCCTTTCCAACCCCTCCCCAGTCGACCTAGGCCTGGTGTATGCATCCAAGCCTGACGGAATATTGAAATGGCATCGTCGAATGACGGTGTCAGTCTCGAACAATGCGACGAAACAAAAAACAACTATACATGACCGTTCAATCGGCAACATAAATTGTGCTATTCGGGTCAAGTCAAGGACTGACCGTGCACCCTGCCACAGTGAGGTAGCGGCGCGGATGCCCTAAAGAGACGTGCACTTGCAACAAACTAGTATTATTTTCTGGCGAAGAGCTCGTACTTATCACTCGCCGACCGCTCCACGCCAGGATAATGTACGCACGGCGCAAAGATTAGAGGCCTCCCAAACAGGAAACGAATAGATGGGGCCGGAGAATCGCGCCGCATCGCCGATGCATCGGCGACGTTGGCGATGCATCAATGCCACCGACTTGGATACGGCGGGGCCCCTCATGGAGACGCAACGACGATGCATCGGCGATGCCGCGGGATCCCTCGACGTCCCATCCACTCTTTGAGCAGGGACCGGCCGTCCCGGCATTCCTATAGTCCTACCACGAAATGTTCTAAGACCAAGATCAATATTCTTAGAACATGAACCCGATGTGTTCAAACAAGACAATATTCACCAGAAATGCTCTAAGAACATTTCGTAGAAACCACACAAGGTTCTTAGAACATTGTTTGGAAGGGCTATAGGCGAGCCAGAACGCTTCGCCACTGCTTGAACTCTCAGACTCCACCTTGGAAGGCCATAACAAATGGCACGGCACCGACCGTGCACCGGACCAACTCATCCAATTCGACCCACGCTTCCGCGCGTGCTGGCTCGCGCGGCGGCGTGCTTCGAGCTGGTCTGCTACACGCGCTGGCGCCGTCCAAAGATACGGCTGGGACCGTTTGCTCCGCGTGTCGCGGCGGCGGCCGGCGACACGCCGTGCCCTGCGAGCGGACCGCGTCTTCATCCTGAGCCGCCCGAGGCCTGGTGAGGGCCCCCAGAGGCTGAACACAACACCAAAAACATGCCGTCGCGCTTGTTCCTGGCTCGAGGGGTGTCTGGGCAGCGCGGCCGGCCAGAACCCATGGAGCGACACGCCAAGCCAAAGCTCCCGACCGTAGATGCGACGGGGGGGTGCGCCAAGTGCGAGGCCCGCCTCACTCGGCCGCGCAGGGCTCCTCTTCGTCTGGCACGCGGGGGGCCTGCGCCAGCATGCTTTCCCGCGCGACGTCGTGCCCTCTTGCGCCCCGGTGCCTCTCACGAGCGGCATGTTTTCCACCACCACCACCACCATACGTTGGAGGGGGGGAAAAAGGAGGACGAGGAGAAGGAGGACGAAGAAGAGGAGGAGGAGGAGGAGGAGGAGGAGGACCCCTCCCCCTCCAACTTATGGTGGTGGTGGTGGTGGAAAACAAGCCTATCATCTCACGAGCGGCGAACATATCCGTATCCGCGCCCTCGCGGTCTGGCTTCCTGGGCGCGATCCCGCGGACACGCGGGCGCACGGATGCGTTCCGCGCTGGGGGCACCCACGAAGAAACGCACCGCATCCGCGGAATCGCGCCCAAGGGGCCTGGCCCGCGAGGCCGGTGATATGGATATGCATGCTTTCCGCCACCGTGGAGTGCAAAGATCGGGGGTGGGACCAGCTCGAGGGGGGGATGCGTCGACCTGGACTCGGTGATACATCGCCAATAGATCGGCAATGGGCCCCCGATTGCGAATCCGCACGGCCCCTTTGCGGGCTGGGCTGTCGGTCCCCCATCGGCGATGACTGGGCGATGGCCGGTCGAGGCGTCCCCCCCCCCCCTGCGAGCCCCTGCCCCCCCTTCCTCGGGGCCCCTGCAGCGGGCCTCCTGAGGTACACGGCGAGCAGCAGCGCGCTCCCGAGCGCCACTGCGGAAACCACCGCGTGGCGCACGGCCATCCAGCGAGGACGCGGGGAGCCGCCTGGCTCGCCGGGCGACCTCCCGGCTTGCACGAGCAACGCCTCCTCCGCCCCAGCTGGCTGCCGGAGCCCTCGCGCGGCCGCGCCGGGCGGCACGACGGCGACCTCCCTGGCGGCGAACCAAGCCGCCTCGTCCTCGGCGTCGCCCTCGCCCCCCGCGAACTCCTGTGGGTAAGCCGAAAGATACCCGCATCGCTACCCCCCGCAACTTGCGCACGCATGCCGGGGGGGACTCCGACCGTGGAGACGAGGGCCTCACGGGAGGCCCGAGGAGGAGAAAACGAGGGCGGGCTGGGGGACCATGACCAAGACTGAGCGCGGAAGCGTCGTGCCGATCTTGGTCCACCTCGATCCTGGTCAGCGTCAATCCGTGGATCGTCCTCGCGAACCAGCGGCGGCCGACGTGCACCATGACCCGGCATCGCCAAGATCCCGCGACATCTTGGTCATGGTCCCCGTGGCTGCACTCCCTCGCAGCATCGGTGCCCTTTTTTCCACCAGTCCTTTCCCCGCGCACGGCCCGCCACCGAGTCTGCCCCGCTGTCCGCCGCCCACGCCGGCGCGGGGCCGGGGCTCCCGCCGGCGAGGCCGGGCGTGGTCGCGGCCTCCTCGTCGCCAGGGCCCGAGAGCCACTCGATGCCCGCCGCGGCCGGGGGCGCTGACGGCGCACCGCTCAGCAAGGCCACGCCGTCGGAGGCCTCGGCAGTGCCACGCGTCTCTCCCTGCCCGGCAGGCTCGCGTCGCGATGACGCGCGCGTCGGCCTGTGACACCGCGTGCATCGCCCACCCTTGGCCGATCACGGTCTTCCGATGGCACATTCCGTTCGACATCGGCCGGCTCTGGGGTCACAGGTGGCGCTCAACCTCGACCTCCCCGCTGCTGGGTGCCCAGCGTCTCCAAATCTCCTGCTCGAGGTGGCGTCGTGGGCATTTTCGCTACTGGGTTGGTAGTGGTACTGTTGTGGCCCATCCTGTTATCGATGGAATTGCCCCCCCTTCGCGCCCCTTTTCACGGATGGGGCGAATATCTGAAATCCCGCGGCTTTGGGGGATGTCTCGGGCGCCGCGGCCTTCTCAGAGCGTCCAGCACTCCTAAGTCAGAGTCGCGTTCCTCGGAATTGGAACGTCACTTGGGTGGTGAATTTGTATCAAGCGAGCTATCGGTTCGAGGCCAGTAGCAAACACGTGCCATGAGGAAAACGTGAACATGAATTTGAAAAGATAAATAAAAATGCCTGAACTGCTGAAAAAGATGCGAACGTTCCGGAACGCTCCGAGAACGTTCCGGAACGCTCTGGAACACATTATTCCTCGTCCCAACCCCGTCCGGCTGTCGCCACCTCCCCACCCACGTGCGTGCACATTTTGGCGCCGGGGCGCTGTCTCAGGGCTCGGGACTTGCCGGGTGACCACTCCATGCCAAACGACTGCTCCGGATGACGGGCGGGCCTCAGGGAGGCGGGGCGGGTCGAAGAGCGGGCGCCCGAGGTACATCGGAGCGAGACGACACACAGACTTGATGTCGGAAACCTTAAAAAGGGGGGCGATGCAGCTGTTGTTGGTGGTGAGGAGAATGATGACGATGGCGATGGTGATGACGATGCTGGTGGTGATGATGATGATGATAATGATGATGGGGGTGATGATAAGACATGATGATGGCGGATCTGATAATGAGAATGCTAATGGTGCTGATGATGATGATGATGGTGATGATGCTTTCGTTGCTAACAAGCCATTGGTGATTAACGGGGTCGCGAACGATGAAATCATACAGACTGCAGCAACACGCGTAATGGTCGGGAAAAACAGTTCTGAAGATGGCAGCGGGTTAGCCATGGCGCCTGGTAAAACAGCGCAGCTGGCGGCGCGCGCCCGCGAACCGCCTCCGACGGGTGGGCGCAAAAGGGGGAAGCAACGCAAACGCCGCGCGGAGGAAAAAGAGGGGCGGCCGATCGCGCGATCGACCTTCGACTAAGCTGGCCACTGAACGAACCCAAAGCAGGACAAGGGTAAGCGGCGGCGGCAGCATCGCATGGAGCCTCGAACTGGGCCCGACCTCGCGCTGGCGAGGATTGAAAGGGCGGGCGACAGCGAACGGGGAGTCTCAGCATAGCCGCAGTCTGCAGAACTGCAGCGCGCCTGCAGTTGTTGCGCACCACCGATAGCGCCCAGGAGATCTCGGCGAGGCCGAGTTCCGCTGACGAGAACTCCGACGATCGAGAAAACATGCCGAGACTGCGGCGGGCGAACCCGCATTGAACTGCAACGCCACCGGGAGGGGCAGAGCAGTAAACGAGAATCATCGCGAGAGAAGCGAGAGAGGCGGCGGGCATATAGCAATTGCTACCACAGCCGACTTCGAAGATGAGGCACAGCTAAATGGGTAGAAGGATGGCGCTGCATGAGCAAATTGAAACCACCTCTCGTAAACTGCTGACGAGTGGCTCTCGCAGCCGCAGCTCGAAGGCGGAACTGCGAATGCGCGCGCACAGCGCTCGACAAGGGCACGCAGATCGACGTCAGGTTCAGCGTCAGTGGCTGCCGCGCCGGCGCAACGGAGGACGGGGGGGGTGGAAGGGGGCGAAGCCAAAGGGGGGCGCGCGCGGGGCCCAAGTCGAAAGCGAAGCAAGAAAGAGGACCATGCATGTAATGGCAAGGATCGTCTCTGCCATGCCCGCAGCCAAATAAGCGCGGGCTGGGCAGCGCGCGGAACCTCGCAGGGGCCCCGACGCCCTAACTGAGGACCCGCAACGCAGCCGCCGACAACATTGAAACAGAGCGGCAAACCTTCCGCCCGCGAATTTGGGAAGCCAGACAATTTGCGCCAGCGGGGGGAAGGGGGGGCAGAAATTTCAGCGCTTTCCTGGGAACCGGGAACTCCGCCACATCTCACAGCTGGTCTTTCCAAGCCCCTCAGCGCTTTCCCGAGCTGTGTTGCGACGCTGCTACAGGGTTAGCGTCGAGATGGCCGGCAGCCGGCAAGAGCTCCGACACTACGGCGGGCATGCGCGACAGGAGCGGTCTCACAAACCACCCTCGCACCAGACGAACATGAATGCTACATCGTAAAGCTGGCGCGAAGAGGGGGCTGCCGGGCAAGTAAGCACTGAACAGCCCGGCAAAGCTGTCGCAACGTGCTTGAAATACGCGCAGCGCGCATTACACCCCGCGTCACCCAAGAGCCACATCAGCCAACTACTGCGCTGTAGCGAGGGCCAGCGTGAAGGATCCCGAGAGCACGGTCTTCTGACTGAAAGAGGTGGGCAGTCGGCCGATGGAAATGGAGCGCGCGGCCAAACGCAGACGCGGCGCGCGCGTTGCGCGCGGCAGTGGATCCAGCCAAGGCCTCGCTCACGCCACGGATCTTACAAGCACGGGATAAATATTGTTCGCGATGCGTCGCAAAGCGGCGGCGGCGCGCCCAGAAACCCTCGGAGACATCCAGATACCTGTCCCGTCGAAAAAACTGAAAGCGCTCACAATCTCTGCCCGAGAAACCCAGGAATCTAATACATACGGACAGGTCACCAGAACGTCCCACCAAGACAATGCATATACCATAGCGCAGCCCAAAACCAATGTCATCTCCGAGGAGACAGAGCTTCTCGAAGACAGGCAGCAAGCCCGTGAATAGGATCGCCAGGCGGAACCTGAGGCCAGACGCATATCCTGAGAGGCCGAACCCAGGAGGACCTGAAGCCAGGAGCCACCGACAGACCGGGTCCAAGGCCAAGGCAAACAAGAGCACCGATGCTGCACAACCTTGGCGGACCCCACGACCCGCGGGGGAGAAGGCCAGGATAACCGCGCTGATATGATCCCGAGCAGCATCGTCAACGTAGACGTTTCCATGGAACTTCACGGGCCAAGCCGGACTCCCCATCTTCTCCGCGACGAACACCGCCCACTCAGTGCAACGACTAGGAAACGAGGCATGGGCGTCAGTAAGGTACCGGGCAAAACCATCATGGCCCTCCCTCCACGTGGGCAATCAGCTTCACTGGCAATGATGTTGCTCGGGATCGGCCGACCATGGGCGCCTCCAGACAACGAGGAGCGCTGACTCTGGTCAGAGGGCACGCGACGGCCGCAGTGATCAGTTCACAGCCGGGGCATCTCATCGACAGAGGGCGAGTGGAGGGAGCCGCGCAGGCAGGCACGGCAGAGTCATCGGACGAATGCCCCCCTTTCGCCAGAAACACCAGAAGCATTTGCGAGGGGCGCGAGACTGGGAGGCGCAATGGTGAGAGAACTCCTGCGGAATGTCTGGCGCGTCTGAGCGCTGCCAACATCCGCGGGGCAAGCCATCAATCATTGGCGTGGGCCCCCAGAACGTTCCACGATATCAGTCTGCTCTCCGCGGGCCAACTCCCACTCGAGCTCAGGCTTGAGACCGTCGGCGCGCTGGATGCGCTGCAGCAAAGTGCCCCGCAAAACGCGGCCAGGCACGCGCGTCGCCATGACGCCGCCCCAGGTTTCTGGCATGCTCGTTGCCGGCGCGACGCCGGGAACCGCGCGCCACCGTTCGCAAATTCGTTGCTCGAGCGCGCCCGCGCGCAAATTCGCGCGCAGGCGTGCCGCGGGCATGCTGCAGCGCCTCTCCCCCATCATCAAGCAACTAGTTATTCTACTGTGCAATGCGCGCGCAGAGGAGCAGGGTCAGCATCCGTTCCAGCGCTCACTTCAAATAAGGACGTGAGGCGAGGGCATGCAAGCGCAGCGCGAACATCACGGCACTGAATACTGACGTGACAGCCACGGAGAGCAGCAACGCACTAATGCAAGTACTCGCGCTGAGTCCAGGCCTCTCAACAGCGCAGCACTTTGCGAAACTCAAGCGGGCCGCGCGCGCTGCCGCCGCGGCGCAAGCTAGGCGCTGCTGGATTGGGGGAGACGAATCCATCGTCGCGGTTTCATCAGAAAGTAGATCCCCGATGTTCAATGCAGGAGTGGCCCGCGCGGGGCCACGGGGGGCGCCGACGGAGAGACGAGGCCCATGAGCAACAATCACCGCGCCAGGGGCGCGATCAGAAGGGCTCTTCAGATTGACAGGCGCGCGCGCGCCGTCGAACCAATGACAGCCGGGCCCATCGAGACCGCCGGTGGGATGTCCACACGCACGCGAGCGATCCAGGCGAGCAGTAGAGACGACCTCGGGGCCATGCCGGGCACGGCGGGCATCCCGCGGCCGATGCAACTGCGCCGAGTCACCAAAGCAAGACGTCAATTCACGAAAGGATGCAGCATCCCCGCGGCTAGCGATCCCAGTCCCAAGACAAATCCCACCTTCGTCGCCGAGCTCAAAGTTGAAGCCGCCGCGGATGTGAGACGCAGCGGAGACCGCAAGCAAGATGTGAGACGCAGCGGATGGCAGCAAAAGGGCGAAGCGAACAGCAGAAGGGACTATGACGGTATCACACTGTACCAGCATCAACTTGTGGCGCGCGAGCGGCAGCGAAGTTCAGACGTCCAGATGTGCGCCGCCCTTGACGCGGTGGGCCTTCCCAGGGATCGGCGGTTGCATTTTGAAGCCAGACAGGTTCATCGCAAGCGACTCCTGCACGCGGGCCAGGACCCCATGCCCAGGAACATCACCAGGGCGGGCGTTCAGGAAAAAACTTGGGAGGACTCCTTCTCCAGAGCGACCAGGTCCCCAGGGTGGCCATGAGACCCCAAAGCGCAGATAAGCGACCCAAAGAATGTACGCCATCGAGTGCAGGGCCCATTCTTCATACTGCTGGCACTACCAAACGGAACACGAGCATCCCATGCAACAACAGGAAGAAGTCCATTCGGCAGGAAGGGGTGCCGGCGCTGCCCCAGCCTCCCTAAAAACCGTTGCGCCTTACAAAAAGGTCCTGCGATCGCCATCCAGCCCCCCGGCGGGGCACCATCGAAATAATATTATTTCGTGCCGAACGCTCAACGGATCTCAGATCGGGTCCACAATCGACTGCTACTTCCCAGCTGTACAGGGAGCCTCGATCCTACAGGTGAACGCGATAACGCTGGGCATCTCGAGCAACGACGTGGGCTTCGATGCGCGGTAAAACTTCGTTCGGAGCAAAGGTGGGCCCGTTGCCGACCGTCGAACAATTGAAGAGGCCCTCGAACTCGTTTCGAATCTTGGCCATGACAATCAACTGCTTGTTCGTCTCACCATCGCGGAGCGTTTCAACCGCAAAGCCCTGGGGCCCTTGAGGGTCTTGAACTCGAAACCATCAGAATCGTGCATACGGGACGCGCCTGTGTCAGCAAAGGGAAGAAAGAGACTGACGTTATTCGAACAGTTCTGCCGCGTGGTTGACATGGCCATCTTGTCCTCTTCCCCAACACGCGCAAAAAGAATATGAGTATCCGCCCTCTGAAGAACCTTCGGGATAAACTCATCTCCGAAGCCCACGAGAATGGCCTTGGACAGGAAATCGGGTCTCCCACTACTTCAGACGGAACAAGCCCTCGGGGCTTCTTGCTTGGACCACTGGAGCCACCCTCATCACAACGCGTCCCGGAAAAACTGGGATCCCAATTCCGCATCATTTCGGGCTCAGCTTCCGTATTCAAGATGTTGGCACTTTGGTTGTTTCCCCGATGATTGTACAAAACAACAACACTAGTGGCACGTGCGCGAACCTGTGCCGACACCACCGAGAGGAGACTTGTTCATCTTGGCCACCTGCGCCGCCAGCTGCTTGATCGCTGCGTCTGACCGGGCCATCCCTGCACCAGCCGCGAGATCGATCGGGCTGGAGGAGAAACACAGGCAGGCAGAGCGGGCAGGCCAGTCCTCCAGTAGATCGAGCTCCCCGTCGCCTGCGAACAAAGTCGAAACGCCAGGCAAAGACGTTCGACCTTGAACCCAAATGGTTTGAGCCAGAATGGTTAGGATGAAGATGATGATGATGATGATGATGATGATGATGCTGGTGATGATGATGATGCTGATGATGATGATGATGATGATGATCATGAAGGATGGTGGATGATGATGACGATCATCATCACCATGCTGATGCTGCTGATGCTGCTGAAGATCGCGAAGAGGAGGAACGCCCGTGGATCCACAGACATCGAAAGTTGTGGCCGCAAACCGCCGTGGGTGCTGTCCGGATCAGTAGAGCTCGAGATCGTGGTTCTTGTTGCTGTGGGCCAGGGCCCGCATGTGACGGGCGGCTCTCGCTGGGCCGGCGCGGGGAACGGGGGCACGCGCACGCGCCTGCATGTGAATTCATGCGATCACTCTGGGCGCCGTCCTCGGAAGTGGGCCGCGCGCTTCGCGCGTGACAAACCGGGTGTTCTGAGCCGGGCAGAACTCCAGGCACTGCGGAATGCGGTCAGCGCCGTCATCGCAGGACCACTGGCGCGGCAGCCGGGGATGTCCCACGCGCAGGAGGTAAGAAATAGGCCGCGCTGGCCAAAGTGCGGATGGCCTCCGAGCTAGTGCCGAGGGCAACAGCCGCCAGCTGGGCTCTGAGGCGTAACCACCTCTGGCGGAGGTCTGGGGGATTGCCAGGTCAGGCCATCAGGCGTTGAGAAGAGGAGGAGGAGGAGGAGGAGGAGGAGGAAAAGGAAAAGGAGGAGGAGGTCGGATCGGCGAGCAGGCGTCGGGCACTGGCGAGGCGCGCCGATGAACTGAGTGGGGAGGGCGGTGGAAGCCCTAGCCTCGGAGCACGGAGCAAGAAAAGACATGGATGAATCATGTTTTCCGTGTGAGGCCACCCCGCGCGGAGCTCGACCCAACAATCATACATGAGGGAGTGTCGGTTCCGTGCTTCGGCTTCCCCCCCCTCCCCTGAACGCTACCAGCTAGCACAACCTGCCACCCAGAACCGCACCATTCAAGCGAAGACTACAACACTGATGCAAGAAAGGCTGGGCGGACTATGCGTCAAGCATGATATGCCGCCCCGCCGTTTGCTCTCGACGCGCCCATATGAACGACAACGACATCACGGCAAACCCACAGCAAACCCACGGAACGCCCTGCGCCCGCGGCGGCGTTTGCCCTGGTAGCCGGGGCACCTTTCCCAAGACGGAAGGCCGCGCGTCGGTACAAACGGCGCGGCGACACATGCCATTCTCTTGCAGTTGCCGACGTGGTACGACACGCAGGGCTTCCAGACTTGATGCGCCAGACAGACAGAGCCGGCGCTGAGGCACCTCCGAGGGTGCGGCGGGTGGGCGTCGGGGCGCCGATAAGGGTTGGCCGCTCAGAAGCAGCCAGAGTCGGAGCGGGAAGAGCGGGAGTCGGAGACGGAAGCGGAGCCAGAGTCGGAAAGAACCGGGATCTGAAAATACGCTTGAGCGGCTGTAACATCAGCGACAGCTGCAAAGGCGCCAGAAAAGAGAAGGCCAACGTCTAAGACACCGCAGGCCCCTAGACGATGGAAGGTCGGGGACGCCTCGAAAACACGCCAAAGTGGTAGACTGTGGGAGGAATTATGGCACAGACGCACCACTCGTGGGAGAGCCAAGACACGCTGTCAAGGGGAATGCATCGACGTTCAACTGCTGAAGGAATGAGAACGCACAGACTTTGCACAAAAACGCCTGGGACTAGCGACGTACAGAAATGCGCCGGTGCGACTCGCGACGTTGCCAGGGGGGCAGGGAAGCGTTACCATGCGGGGGGGGATGTCCCCGGTAACGGGCGGCATCAAGACTGAAACAAAACGCGCTCCAGACCAGTTCCCCCTGAGCCTGACCCCGCTCACGTTGCTCCTGGAACCTCGACTTCCACGAGGAATAGGTGACATCCCCAGTGGTGTGCCACCCTGGGCAATGCCAAAGCTTGCACGCCCGAAAGGAGATACGGACAAGATCGGCACAATGCCCAATAGATCATGTCATACATTCCAAACCGACAGCGCCCGCTGATGGGCA